GGGGGGGGAGGGGGTCCGGTCATGAGGCCTGAACTCTAGGCCTGGGTGCTGTCCCTCAGCATTCCTTGCTGGTTATTTTTATTTTTATTTTTTGGCCTGTCGTGGGGCTTGAACTCTGGGCCTGGGCACTGTCCCTCAGCTCTTCAGCTGAAGGCCAGTGCTCTACTCCTTGAGCCACAGCGCCATTTCCAGTTTTCTGGTGGTTCATTGGAGATAAGAGTCTCACAGACTTTTCTGCCTTCTGGCTGGCTTTGAACCAGAAGCCTCAGATCTCAGCCTTTTGAATAGCTCGGATTACAGGCATGTACTACCTCACCTGGCTGGGATAGATTTCTTTCTTTTTTTTTTTGATCCGGTTGTGGGGCCTGAACTCTGGGCCTGGGCACTGTCCCTCAGCTCTTCAGCTCAAGGCTAGCGCTCTACCACTTGAGCCACAGCGCCACTTCCGGCTTTTTTCTTTTTGCTTATGTGGTGCTGAGGAATCGAACCCAGGGCCTCAGGTATGCAAGGCAAGTGCTCTACCACTGAGCCACCTTCCCAGCCCTGGGCTAGATTTCTATTGATGGCATTTCCCGTCACTTTTGTAGGCATGGGATCATGCATTCTCTCCTCTGTGTGACTTTTTTCACTCCACATGAAATTTATTCATGAACTAGGGCTGGGGTGCTCTTCAGGGGTGGTATTTTCCTGACAGGGGTGGTTCTAGGGTTCATCTTTAGCACCACAAAATAAAAAAGTAAGGCACCCGTGCTATCGCATGTAAATAGCATGTAAATATAGTTCCTTTATATCTAGTTTTATTTGCTTGCTAAAACAGCATCTGTAGGCAGCCCAGGCTGGCTTGGAACTTCGGATCCTTCTGTGTTAGCCTTCCACCTGCTGTGATTATAGGTATCAGCAACCATATTTGACTGTAAGATGAGTCTTCAGTGAGTTAAGACTGGGATTCAGTTGAATATGACACTCAAAGGATTCCTCACATTGACCCCAAGTCTGGACTGAGGACACTTTAGGCTGGAGACAAAAGCATGGGTGTCATCACGTGTAGGCAGGATTTCTGGGAAGAGTAGTAAGGGGTTCGGGGGTCAGTACCAGTGCTTGAACTCAGGGTCTCAGACTCAATTTGCTTATACCCCCAGCCCTACCATCTGAGCCACTCCTCCAGATCTGCTTTTTGCTGATTTTTTTTTGGGGGGGGCCGGTCGTGGGGTTTGAACTCTGGGCCTGGGTGCTGTCCCTGCGCTCTTCAGCTCAAGGCGAGTGCTCTACCACTTGAGCAGCACAGCACCACTTCCAGTTTTCTAGTGGTTTATTGGAAATAAGAGTCTCACGGACTTTCCTGCCCAGGCTGGCTTTGAACTGTGATCCTCAGATCTCAGCCTCCTGAGTAGCTAGGATTACAGGTGTGAGCCATCGACACCCGGCTTTTGCTGATTATTTTAGAGGTGGAGTCTTGAGGATTTTTTTGCTGGAGCTGGCCTTGAACCTCAGTCCTTCAGGTCTTGGTCCCCTGAATAGCTGAGAGAGAACAGGTGCCAGCTACTGGTGCCTGGCAGGCAGACAGCTCTATGTTTCTCTCCCACCCCTGGGGACCAATGGGGTATGGGCAGAGGAGGGAAGAGGCTTGAGGATTGGGAGAAGACATTTTTAGGGGGGACAAAGATGCCCCAGATCATCAAGTGGTGGTGGTGATGGGGATGTTTTGAGGCCAGTCAGTCGCTGGATGACAGGAGTGAGCCATGGGTGTACAGCTGTCTTTGGTACTTATTGAGCAACTACTATATACTAGGCTATCTAGCTACAGAGTGAAGGCAAGAGGTCCTTGTGCCCCAAATTAAAGAATTGGCACTTGTATCAGTGGCAGAGTAGTAAGGAACTTTTTTTTTTTTTTTGGATAGGTTGTGGGGCTTGAACTCTGGGCCTGAGCACTGTCCCTCAGCTCTTCAGCTCAAGGCAAGCATTCTACCCCTTGAGCCACAGTGCCACTTCTGGTTTTCTGGTGGTTCATTGGAGATCAGAGTCTAATAGACTTTCCTGCCCAGGCTGGCTTTGAACCGTGATCCTCAGATCTCAGCCTCCTGAGTAGCTAGGATGACAGGTGTGAGCCACCGGCGCCTGGCTAACACTTTTGTTCCATTGGATTCCCTTGTCATGCATTCCATCTGCAAAACAAGTCTGGGTTTCTTTGTGGGGGACCCAGGGAACCCCTAACTTGGCTGTGCCCCACTGAGGTGTGTGATTCAGGAAGACAGTGGACCTGGTCCCCACTGGACTAATGGAGACTTTGGCCCTCCCCTTGCCCCTTATCTCAAGGCCAAGAGCCATGTCCAGGGGCGTCTGGGAAGAGGGTGATGGGGAGGGGTGCAGTGGGAGGGGGGCAGAGTCAGCAATCTGGGCATGGCTGGGTGGGGTAGGGCAGGGTTCAGGCTCCACAAAGAATAATGCACCTTGGTTTCCTCCGCCAGGAATATTTCAGATTGCTCTGTGATCCCCATTGAAAGCACATTGACCCTCCAATGCCCTCCAATTAGGGCTAAGTGTTTCAGGGGCCTGGATGGAGTGCCGTAGTGGGCACTTGCCTGGCGTGAGTAAGGCCTGGCTTCCAAACCCAGACGTGACTGCATCCCAATAAATCCAATTTATGGCACTGAAATGTGGGTGTCACAAAACAGTATTTAATTTAAAAACTTTTTTTTGTCAGTCATGGGATTTGAACTCTGGGCCTGGGCGCTGTCCCTCAGCTCTGCAGCTCAAGGCTAGTGCTCTACCACTTGAGCCACAACACCACTTCCAGTTTTCTGGCGGTTTATTGGAGATAAGAGTTTCAGAAGCTGGGCGCTGGTGACTCACGCCTATAATCCTAGCTACTCAAGAGGCTGAGATCTGAGGATCACAGTTCAAAGCCAGCCCAGGCAGGAAAGTCCGTGAAATTCTTATCTCCAATCAACCACTAGAAAACCAGAAGTGACGTTGTGGCTCAAGTGGTAGAGCGCTAGCCTTGACCTGAAGAGCTGAGGGACAGTGCTCAGACCCAGAATTCAGGACCCTCAACTGATCAAAAAAAAAAAAAAAAGAGTTTCATGGATTTTCCTGCCCAGGCTGGCTGTGAACCTCGATCCTCAGATCTCAGTCTCCTGAGTAGATAGGATTACAGGCGTGAATCACCAGCGCCCAGTTTTAAAACCATTTTTTTGGGGGGTCAATTAGTCATGGGCTTGAACTCTGGGCCTGGGCACTGTCTCTCAGCTCTTCAGCTCAAAGCCAGTGCTCTACCACTTTGAGCCACAGCGTCACTTCCAGTTTTCTGGTAGTTCATTGGCGATTAATGGACTTTCTTTCCCCGGGCTGGCATTGAACCCCGATCCTCACATCTCAGCTTTCTGAATAGCTAGGATGACAGGCGTGAGCCACCAGTGTCTGGTGGTAAAGCATTCTCTTGACTGTACAAAAGCCTGGCAAGAATAGGTTAGAGTTGATCAGTGATACAGTTTGCTGGTCCCTGTTGTAAAATCAGGCAGCCTCATTCCTGCTGTCTGATTTGAGGCCACTGTCAATTGTGTGTGTGGGGGGGTGTCGGGTGGGGGGGGGTGGGAGTGGTGGTGGGGGGTGGGGGTGGGGGGGGAGACTGAGTCAGCATTTAATGACCCAGAAGAACACACAGATGCGCATACCAGACGGGGCAGTAATGTTACATAGGGACTGCTATAGACCAGGCGGTGACGTGTGAACGTCATTGGAATGCCTGCTGTCCACCAGCCACACACCCAGCATCAACGCAGCGCCTGCTGTATACCAACACACACATTCATGCCTGAGTTTGGAGTGTGGAGTCAGGAAGGCTCTCCCCAGGAAGGGAGGTTTGAGTTGGGAGGAGCAGAGTCCAGAGCTGTGTGTGTCCCCACGAATCCTGCTCACCTGCAGAATAAAGGAAATTATACCCATTTGGCAGGGTTGGTTTAAAGGGCGATGGTATACAGAAGGCTCTGTATACCGGCTCTGCCCAGTATACAGTAGGCAACCCCTACCTGGCCGCTTTGCCGTACACACTGCATTCAAACTGGCTTTATGCATGGTACACAGTAAGCGCCTTGCCAATGCCTGACTCCATGCCGGCTCCACGACCTGCAAGTAGACAGCAGGCTGTGCATCGATGCCTGGCTTGTGCCTGGCGTACACAACAGGTGCCCTGTGATGCCCGGTCGGGGTGGGATGTGGGAGTGGCTGCCTGCACGGCGGCCTGCGCTCGGGATGCGGTGGGCGCGCCGGTAGGAGCCCGATGTTATTCTCTGGCTCACAGCAGGCGCTGCGTTCATGCTCAGCCCCCGGGCAGTGTGCAGTAGGCTCTTCGTTCCTGCTCGTGCACACGCACGGCGGGCACACAGCCGGCACTCTCCAGGAAGGCGGCGGTGACTGGAGGCCAGGTGCGGCCCGCCGGGCCCGGCGCGCCGGAGCTCAGGGCCCCCGCCCCTCCCGAGTCCAGCGGAGCCCTGAGGCCGAGTCCTCCACATTCCCACAATCCCGGGCGGCCCCGCCCGGCTCCCGGCGGCGCGGCCCCTTCCCACGTCGGCGCGTCCACACGCGCGTGCCCCCCCCCCCCCCACTTCGTCCCGCCCCGCCCTCCGGCGCCGAGGCCACGCCCCCACGCCCGGTCCGCTAGTCCCACCCCCGCGGTGCGCGCGCCGGCCGCCGGCCACTTTCATTGGCCGCGCTGCCTGCCAGTCGTCGTGGGCGTCCAGCGCGCTAGGTTGTCCGGCGCTGTCGCTCGATCGCGGCGGCTGCGGTTTAGCGGCGGCGGCGGCGGTGACGGCGGCAGCGGCGGGCGGTGGCAGCGGCGACGGCGACGGCGGTGGCGGCGGGCGGCGAGGCGACGCGGGCGGCGGCAGGGTCCGCGTCGGCGCGGCCCGAGCGGAGGACCGGCGGCCGCGGCCGAGCGGCGGCCCGAGCCGAGGGCGGGGCCGGGCGCAGCCGAGGCGGCGGCTCCGGCGGGCCGGGCCGGGCCGGGGGCCGGCGGCGGCGGCCGCCGCGGCCGGGGCCGGGACGATGACTCTGGAGTCCATGATGGCGTGTTGCCTGAGCGACGAGGTGAAGGAGTCCAAGCGCATCAACGCCGAGATTGAGAAGCAGCTGCGGCGGGACAAGCGCGACGCGCGGCGCGAGCTGAAGCTGCTGCTGCTCGGTGAGTGGCCGCCGCCGCCGGCCCGGCCCGGGGCCCGCGCTCCGCCGGGAGAGCCGGTCCCTGCGGGGCCCGGGCCGGGCGGCCAGGCCGCGGCCCGCGCGCCTCCCCCCGCGGCCGTCGCCCCGTGGCTGCCGACTGGGGGTGGGGTGGGGACGGCTGTCCCCGATCTCTTCCCCCGGGCTGTGATCCGCGGGATCCCTCCCTTCGCGGGCCGCCAGGTGGATCCCAGCCGTGACCTACTCGGTCCGCCCCCTCTCCCCCCGCCCCCCGGGGTCCTCCTCGGTCCCCGGTGCCCCTGCAAAGCCATCCTCCGCCCTGCGTCCCTCTGCCGACCAACCGAGGCTGGGAGGACGCCCCTGGGGGTGTCCGAGGCGGCTCCCCCCCCAGCTGGGCGGGCTGGGGTTGGTTGGGCCTCCGGCCCTCCCGTGGAGGCTCCCGCTGCCCCAGGCACACCTGGTGCCCAAGTCCGGCCACCTAGGCCCAGATGGCGGAGTGTTGTCACCCCAAATAAGGGCCCAAATGAGAGCAGGGAGGAATGGCCCTTGGCAGGGGTTTACAAAACAGAAGCTGTGTCCCTGTCACCCAGCGTCTGCACAGACCTCCGGGAGTTGCAGAGCAGGGGCAGGTGGGGGCAGGGGCTGTCTTGGGTTGAGGGGCCGGCGGAAAGGCGGCTGGGGGCAGTGGGGTTCAGGACACAGGCACTGAGATAAGAGGGTCTGCTGACAGCATCCAGGGTAGGGCCGATGTCAGAGACACTTGGTGACTGAATGTGCTAGCAGAAGACCCAGGGGCAGAAGGCTTTGGGCTGAGTCTTGAGGTTCTGGGGCAGAGGACGTGGGTGCAGAGGGGCTGGGGCAGAAGCAGAAGGTGTTGGGTGAAGAGGGGTTTGGTATAGAGGCGCTGGGGGCAGAGGGGGCTGAGGCGGACATGGAGGCAGGCACTGGAACTGGCCTTGACGTGCCCACGGGCTGGTGGCGTGCTGCCACACACAGGTCAGTGTCCTAAGGCAGCATTTGTGGCTCCCAGACACTGGCCTTGGTGGCAAAGCTTTCCTGGTACTTTTTCCCCCAAGTGGGTGTGATTTCTCCCAAGGGCTTTGGGTGTCCCCCCAGGAGACAGTGGACAGATTGGAATGGTGGCTCCACAGTTGGTGGCTGGCATGGACTGGCTTCTGCCCAGAGGAGGAGACTGTCTGTGTGGAAATGCTGGTAATGCTGAGCACTGGTGGCACGTGCCTGTAATTCCCTCTACTCAGGAGGCTGAGATCTGAGCTTCGCAGGTCCAGCCAGCCCCAGCAGATAAATCTGAGAAACTCTTAATCTTCTGTTAACCAGCAAAAGTTGAAAGAGGTGCTGTGGCTGAAATAGAAGAGGGCCAGCCTTGAGTAATAAAGCCAAATAGAGTGTAAGGCCCTGAGTTCAAGTCCCAGTTCCCAGTAACCTGGATTGTGCAGATGCCTAGAGCTGTTTGGAGTGATCTTTGGGCCTCCTGTCCTGCGCCTGGGCTTGAGGTTGACTTGACTCAAGCTTTGCAGTGGGGCTGGGCAGGTCCCCAGCCTAGCGGCTTGGAGTGTCTGTAGTCCCTCCCATCCTGCCCTGCTTCAGGAGAGTGGTGTCGGTGCATGGCGGGTGGGTAGGAGAGGGAGGACAGGTGGAAATGCTGAGGTGGAGGCCCTGAGGCCCCAGGTGTGCTGGGTGCTGGGAGGGCTTCACAGAGGGGCTGGCGTTGGCCGGGCCCCTTGGACAACCCCACATGGGACCCTCTGTCCCATGTTGAGGGCTTTGTCAGGGCCTTGATGTGGGGGGAGGATGCGGGGGGGGGCCTGGGGCTCATCACTGAGTCCCTGCTCTGTACCATCCCCACCTGTGGGAATCGTGCCATGTTAGCTGCCAGCTAGAGAAAGCACTGTCCTGTGTGGCAAGCTAATCGAGGGGGGGGGGCTGAGGGCTCCCTGGGGGCCACAGCCACTGCTCCCACAAATGTGTAGCCAGTGGCGCTCTGGTATTTTGAGGACAGGCCCTGTGGTCTCTTTGGTCAGGGTGGGGTTTGCCTTTCCTCTGGAACAAGCCCACTCTTCCCCCTTCGCGTGGGAGCGCCCCTCTGCTGCCACTGCTCCCATTTGGGTGGCAGAGTGGGCATGGGGGGCAGGGCCTCACCTGGGCTCCCAGGGACCACTTTCACACCTGGGTCTGCCACCAGCTAGGACAGGGCCTCGTCCTCTGTACTGCCTGGGCTGCGGGGGGGGGGGGGGGGGGGGGGGAGGGATGAGGGGGGAGGGGTCGTTCTCTCTGGGGGTGTGTCCTGGGCTCTGCAGTGACGCCCCATAGACAGTGGTCCTTGTAGGGTCTCTGCCCTGCTCCCATGCCATGCGGGGAGCCCCACTCCTCACAGAGGCGGCCTAGTGTTGGCAGGCGCAGCGCGGCGCCCTGTGGGGCTGTTGCAGGGTCTTCGGGGTTGGTCTCTCGTTGGTCCCAGGCTGGTCTCCTTGGTGCCTGTCGGTGGCAGCCGTCAGCAGCCATGGGCTGGGAGGGACATGGACTGTGTGGCTAGTGGATGTGTCCTTCCAGCCTCCCCTCCCGCCACTGCCGACGCTGGGGTCCCGCAGGCGCCGGGGCGGGGGTGGGGTGGGGGGAGAGGCTTCCTGTCACTCGATAGCCTGGCCACCTAGGAGACTGTTGCGATCCGTGCCCAGGTTTCTGGCTAGAGAAAGGCGAGGCCTTGCTGGGAATGCCTGTTCCCGAGGCCTGGCGTGCACGCAGGGCTGAGCCGGCTGCTGGCGGCTTTCTAAATAAAGCAGGGTGGTCAGTCCGAGAGCTTCCTGTCCCCTGTGCTGCTGGCTGGGCAGCCCGAGCCGGATCTGCCCTGGGGGCGGCTGGAGGGCTGGGTGTGCCTCCCGTGCCCTACCGGGAAGGAGGCCGGCAGTGGCCACCTCCTGCCTGCCAGGGTCTCCGCGGTCCCGGCCCCCCCTTCCCCCCCCTCCGTCTCCACAGAGGGAGACCCCATAGGGATCTCTGAGCTGTGCCCCATGTATGCTAAATCTCTAAACCCCCGTCAGGGCGTGGTCCTGGAGGCCGCCCAGGGACCTGTGAGCTCCAAGCCGGAGCTTTTAACATCCGTTGTGCCCTCAGTTTCCCTGCCTGTCCCTGAGGGACCCAGCCCCTGTAGGCACCCCTGGGAAAAGTCAGCTTGCATGGTGAAGGGCTCGGGGCGCAGGCAGCACCTGAGCTGTGTGCCCACAGGTCAACCAGGGCGCCCCTGTGGCCATTCCCGTGGCCCACCGGCTGCGCCGTGCCCCAGCTGGCTGCCGACGGAGGAAGTGCCGCCTCCCGCCAGCGGCCGTCACATGCGGAGTTGAGAGGTGGGGCAGGCTCCACAGGGGAAGCCCGGCCGGCCCTGGGATGCGGCGGTGGCCTGGGATGCGGCAGCCGGCACCGCGGGCAGGTGGCCCCAGGGGAGACAGCAGGGTGGCAGTTGGCCCCCTCCGAGTCCCCAGCGGGGTGCTCATGTTCCTGTGAATGGGGACAGTGAGGCGCCAGGGTGTCCTAGAGCAGGGCGCTGTGAGGGTGGGCGCTGACTGAGCTCTGAGCAGTGACTGGTGGGTCCTTCCTCCCAGCTCCCCCCCTTGACCCCTGCCCTCCTGGCAGCCACCACTCCTGTCCTGGGGTGACTAGAGCCGTTGAACCTGTCACCTAGGCGTGGCTAGTCCCCTGCCCAGACCCCACCCTGGCCTCCTCACAACCCCCAATGCCCAGCCTCCCCCGCCAGGGTGGGGCCCGCACTGCCACAGCCAGCTGTGTGCTTGCACGTGCCTCAGTTTCCCCAGGCCCAGGCGCGGTTGAGAGCTCAGGGAGCACCCTGGCAATGCTGTTGTTGGGGGTTACTCACTGTGGCCTTCCTGCACCCCAGTGCTGCGAAGGGTATTCCACAGAGCACTTGCCTAGGGCTTCTCTCCTTGGCACCGTGGTTGCTGCCTCCCCCCTCCTCCAATTCCATGTGAAGAGTCTGCTGGTGACAGCCACACAGGTCCCCGCCGCTGCTGCTGACAGCGCGGTCACATGGGGCACGCAGCTGTGTGAGCCCCGCATGCCGTGACTGCTCACAGGCAGGCGGGGTCCCGGGCGGTCCCCCTGTGTCCTGCAGCCTGCAAGCTCCTGTGTCCCCGTCTGACGGATGCCCGGCCTGCAGCGGGCACGGCAGAGGGAGAGCCTGTGTCCCCACTGCAGGCTTGCACAGCACTGGGGCGCAAGTGCCCCCCCAATGGTACCAGACTGCCAAGCAGAGAGACTTGTGTCGCTGCTGAGCCTGGCATCCTGCGTGCAGCGGGGCTCTGCCCAAGCACTTCCTGCCGTCACTGCCGGGCCAGGGTGGCAGGACGGGAGCGCGTGGTCTGGAGATGAGACACAGGTCCCCATCCGTGACCACCAGCCCTCTTGGGGTCCCCACGCGGTGGCCTGGCTGGCCTGGCGAGGGCGCGGGTCCCGCGCGGGGAGGAGCTGGCAGCAGGACCAGCTGTCCTGTGCGCCATGCCCCCTGGCCATGGAGGGAGGGCGGGCTGACCAGGTGGGACTGGGTGGAGGCCCAGTGGGGAGCGGCCGTCTTCCTGCTCTGCTTCCCCTGTCTCTGGCGAGCCTCCGTGGGGACATCTGGGCAGGCAGGGCTCTGTCCTCATCCTCAGGTGTCTGTGGCTTAGATGGGGTGTGGCCTCATGCTGGAGACGTGGTCCTCAGCTTGGCACTGTGGGGAAGGCTGGAACCTTTAAGCCAGGAGGCCTGATGGGAGGTCGTGGGTCATCAGGGGCATGTCCTTTCTCCCGGTGCTGTTTGACCTCAGCGCCTCATTTCTTGCTAGGCAGTGGCTCTGACAGTGAACCATGCCTCCAGGCCTTCTTGCTCAGTTTTTCAGCCTAGGGTCTTGCACTTTATTTACACCCTGTTTGGCGTGGGCCTTGTCTTCCGTCTACACTATCTATGCCCAGCTTTTTATTGGTAGAGATGGGGTCTCCTGGACTTTTTGCCCAGGCTGGTGTAGAACCAAAGTTTTCCTGATCTCTGCCTCCTGAGTAGTTGAGATTGTAGGCATGAAGTACCCTGCCCAGCTTCCAGCGTCTTTTGTGTCCCAGCCTTGAGGAGACAGGTTTGCATCCTCCGTGCTCTTGCTGTGGTGAGCTGTCCCCACCAGAGAGGCCTGTGAGACTGGACTCTCCACAGCCCATCTCCTCTAGATTGGTGGTTTCAGGAGCTCATTCAGCAGCAGGCGGGGGTGCCAAGCCCACCTGGCCCTGGCTGGGTGGTGCTCCCACCAGGCTTGCCTGGCTTGGGGGCTTCGTAGAGGGAGAAGGCTAGGGTGGGGTCCGGAAGGGTGAGGGGTGGGTGTCACTGGGGTGAGTCTGGTGGGCTGGCCATGCCTCCTGGGGTTGGTCTGCCCAGCCCCACTGGAATCTGACCTGTGGCCATCAGCATCCCTACCTTGAGATACCTGGGAAGGGTGGCAGCCCAACACCGGCTCCTGGCAGACTCTGTCACCACCATGGAGATAAGATTGTGCCTTGAGTCCAGAGGCCATCTGTTACCCACTTGTGATGATCACGTCTGTTGCCTACAGGCCACAAGGTGCTCCTGAGGGCAGAAGCCGGCGCCACCTGGCTTCTCGCTTCCCAGGAGGGAGTGAAGGGACAAGGAAATTGACGGCCTAGCACACTCTCCTGTGTTCAGGCCAGCACTTAGTACTCTGTGATCTCAAGAGGGCTGCTTTCCCTCTCTGTCTGTTTCCCCAACTCTCAAACAGAACTCTCAGGGGTAGCACCTCTCAGGGTTCTGGAGATGAAGTGGAGTTGGGGCGGAAACACCGCGAGCTGGACTGTGGCTGTGCCCATTTGACCCGTGTCTTCAGCCACAGGAGGGTCTCCCATGGGGCCCATGGCATCAGGGTGCCTCGCCTGACCCTGACCAGACATGGCACACCTGTCCTGACAGCCACAGCATCACAGCCACAACCACTGGTGGTCAGGCTGTGACCTTGCAGCTAGGACATGGCTGCCGACCCCCACTTGTGACACAACATCCATGTTCTACTCCCAGATATGGCCCCTGTGTGGGCCAGCATTGTGTCCACTCATCTAAACGTCCATTCGTACATACGTACATACATACATACATACATCTACCTACCTGCCCGTCCACCTGTCCATCCATCCATTAATCCATCCATCCATCCATACACACATACATTTTATCTACATACCCATCCACCCACCTGTTCATCCACCTGCCTACCTATCCATCCATCCATCCATCCATCCATCCATCCATCCATCCATCCATCCATCCATCCACCCACCCATCCATCCGTCTATCAATCTATCCACCCATTCATTCATCTATCCACCTACCCATCTACCTGCCTATCCATCCATCCATCCATCCACCCATCCATCCGTCTATCAATCTATCCACCCATTCATTCATCTATCCACCCACCCATCTACCTGCCTATCCATCCATCCATCCATCCATCTATCCACCCATTCATTCATCTGTCCACCCACCCATCTACCTGCCTATCTATCCATCCATCCATCCATCCATCCATCCATCCATCCATCCATCCATCCGTCTATCAATCTATCCACCCACCCATCTACCTGCCTATCCATCCATTCATACATCCATGCATCTATCCACAATCTATCCACCTGTCCACCCACCCATCTGTTCATCCACCTACCCATCCATCCATTCATCTGTCCATCAGTCTGTCCACCCATTCATTCATCTTTCCACCCACCCATCCACCTGCCCACCCATCCATCCATCCATCTACCCACCCATCTATCCATACATCCACCCATCCACCCATTTGTTCATCCATCTACCCATCTAACCACTTATTCATCTATCTATTCATCTGCCCATCCAGTCATTTATCCATCCATATATGTATATACATCTATCCACCCACCCATCCATCTGTTCATCCACCTACCCATTCATCCATCCATCCATCCATCCATTCATCTCATCTATCCATCCACCCACCCACCACCCATCTATCCTCCCTCCCACATACCGGCTGGGTGTGGCTTTGTCAGGCAGCCTGGCTCCTCATTTCTTCCTTTGTATATTAGTGGCAGCATAGGCTCTGGCCGCTCTTGGTGGTCGTAGTGACTGAGTGTGCCAACTGACCTGTAGGCTGTATCTGGTTCTGCTCTGGACCTCATGCCCTGCAGGTGGGGTGGCTGGCATGGTGGTGGACCCGGGGAGAAGGAAGCAGCTGTTCTGGGTTGTCGTGCTGGCTGGTTCCAGAGATGTTTGCAGCCCTGTCCATGCAAGGGCTGGGGTCTGAGTGGACCCCTCCATCCCGGGAGCATCCTGGGGGTGGGGAGCAGTGTGGCTGTGGGAGGGCGAAGGTTTACTCAGCGCTGGGGAGTGTAGAGGGCTGTGGGCTGCCGTGTCTGCCCACCGTGCCCCACACTCCCAGGCGGGGGCCACGGGGCACGGGAAGAGGAGTCTCAGCCTGGGAGAGCGGTGGTGGCCACAGGCATCCTCCGTGTTCCCGCATCCCCGGCCCTGCCTCCCGCCCTCCTCCTCTGCTGAGAACCAGGGGAGGAGGCATCCGCACTGACAGCAGCCCCTGGCCTCCTGCGCCCCACGGTGTCTGCAGCCCCTCACGCCCCTCCATCCCCACCTCACCCCTGCACGGCCTGGCGCAGGGGCTGGGGCTTTCCTTGCACTCCGTCTGGGGCTTGTCGTGCTTGTCACCAGCGGCCCTTCCCCTGTGGGAGTGCCACCAGGCTGGCTCTACTTTTACTTCTTGAAGCCGTGGGGCCTGACGCTGAGGGCCGCGGTAGTGCTTGTGACCGTGGGTGTCGTGTCCTCCATGGCAGGTGCTGACTTGGCCAGGACTGGGGTGCTGGGTGATAGGTCGCAGTAGTCCCCACCGTGTCGCAGGGAGCCTGAGAGGCAGTCTTGCCGGTGCCACCTGAGCTGTGCCCTGGGTCCTGGCCCTAGCTGTCTGGTGGTGGATGAGCGCCTGGCTGGGTGGCCAGTGGCCGTGGCTCCTCTCCTGGCCTTGGTGGTCAGGCGCCCTGCTCAGTCAGAGCTGCTCCCCTGGAAGGCCACTCATCTGTGGAGGGGTGACCACCTCTGCTGGCACCCTGTGTGGCACCCTGGTCCCAGGGGAATGGGGTAGTGGGCCACGCTGTCCCCAGGAGCACTCCCCTGGCTTCCGGTAGGGGCTGCTGGTGGCTGTCACGGCGGCTGTCAGCATGGACAGGTGAGCTGGGGGTGGGGCACTGGGCCAGCTCTGGCCAAGGAGCTCACGGGGCGGCAGTTGTGGGGCTTGGCACAGGTTGCCCCTCTCTCCTCGGGCACCGAAGAGCCCCTTTCCACCTGGGCGTGGGCCTGGTGGGCACCGTACATTTGCTGCTTTGAGTTCTGTCAACTTCAGAAGGGACAAAGCCTGTGAAGAGGTCCCAGAGGAGCAGACACAGCGTCCCTAGACTGTCCCGTGCTGTTGGGCACCCCCGGTTTCCCTGCCTGTCAGCCGGCACTGTTGGCCCCCTGAAGGCTTGGGGTCCCCGATTCTGCCTTTCAGCTGGGACACTGCCAGCTCTGCCCATGTGTGCCGGTGTGTGTGCACCTGTCTGTAAGTGGGTGTGTTTACACGTGCACTTGTCGGGGTGCTTGCCCTTGCCCCACAGTTCCCCAGGCCCCTCAGGCTGGCTGCTGTTAGCTCGTTAGGGAAAAGCGTGCATGGCAGCCACATGCACCTTGCATTCGCTCCCCGTGCCCGGCCGAGCACCCCGCCTTTCCGCTTTGTGCTTGCAGCTCTTGTGGCCAGGGGACCTTGGGCTTCGCCTGGCCTCCCCCTCCCAACAAGGCCGGCCCTGGGCTGGGCGCTGGCGCAGTGCCCTCTCCCGCCTGCTCTTCACCACCGCATCCACATGGCGGGGTGCCTTTTTGTAAGAGTTTGTTTCCTCTGTCCCCAGAGACCCCGGGTGGTGTCTGGGAGGGTGGCTGCGGGGGGTGGGGCGCCCTGGCCTGCTCATGGAGGGGACGCCTCGGCAGGTTATTCCATCTACCCCTTTTTCCAGCCCAAGCAGAGATGTGTGGGTGCTCCCCCCCAGCCAGCGTGGGGGCAGGCGGCAGGGGGCAAGCTGTGGGGCGCTGTTGTGAGGCCCCATGTGGCAGCTGCCATGGGGTTCATCCTGAGGCTGGGTTCGGTGGTCCAGTCCTGGTTGTCCAGCAGGGGGACCCTTTGCCCAGGCAGGGCAGCAGGAGGCTCCGTGTTCATCCTTGGCAGGTAGCCACCTCCCCCTAGTGGCTGCAGGGTTGGGCCTCATGCCCACAGAGGGGCGCAGCCAGGGTGTGGACAGCCAGCGCCGGCGGGCGGCTGAGCCTGCAGGTGACAGCGGTGCAGAGGCCCCGCCCCGCGCAGCGGGTGTCAGGGCTGTGTCAAGGAAGATGCCCGCGACGCCACTGCCTGGTGCCGTGTGAGCCTCCCGCGCTGCCCATTACACTGCACGGCCTTTTGACACAGAAATCAAACTCTGGGCCCCAGCAGCGGTGGAGGCCACAGAGGCGGCACCCGGGGTGTGGCGTGGGTGAAAATGCATTGTGGTTTTCCCCAGTGGTCCGGAAGGGACAGTAAACCAGCTTGCTAGGTCGCCCGATGTGGCGAGCAGGCACACCGCACCTGCCCACACAGCCCTGGGGCAGGCTGGCGGGTCATGGCGGCCGTGACACCAGTCCTGGGCCCTGTGGCTGACCCTTCCCCTCTCCTTCCGCCCCCCAACCACAGGCACAGGCGAGAGTGGGAAGAGCACGTTCATCAAGCAGATGCGCATCATCCACGGGGCGGGCTACTCCGAGGAGGACAAGCGGGGCTTCACCAAGCTGGTCTACCAGAACATCTTCACCGCCATGCAGGCCATGATCCGTGCCATGGAGACGCTGAAGATCCTCTACAAGTATGAGCAGAACAAGGTGTGTCTTGCTGGAGAGGACTGGGCGGGGCGAGGGTGAGACTGGGTGGGGGGCGGGGCTGGGGCGGGGACTGGCCAGCACTGGGCCCCTGTGTAGGCCTAAGTGTAGTCCTATGGCATGGAGGACAGGCATGGACTAGAGTCTGGGAAGGCCAGATTGCCCTGGTGGTCTGGACACTGCCCAGCTGAGCCCTACAACTTCTGTTCCAAATAGCTTTTAGCACCCTCCTTCGGGATGGCCGCCGAGGCCAAACGAGGATGCCTGCCTGCGCCTCTCAGGAGCGGGCAGCGAGCCCACTGAGTCCCCAGATTTTCACAGGTCATCCGTTAAAGACCACCCCGATGGTCTTTATTTGCAGAATTATTCAGCCATCACTGTGAACATATTTCCAGAGCACTCTATCACCCTCAGAGGATGCCTGCCCATTCCCTGCCTCTGGCCCCCAGAAGTCCACCTCCTCACTGTGTAGATCCGCCTGTTCTGGACATTTCCTTTCTGCAGAGCCACACATTGCGGGGCCTCTTGTGTCTGCTGCCCTGAGTGTGGTGGCAGCCACAAGCACGTGCCAGCCCCGTCCTGTTCCTGGCTGTGTGGTGCTCCAGCAGGGGGAGCACTGTCAGGCCCCCTGCGGCCTCCACTGCTCCACCGTGTGGCTTCTGTGTCTGTCTGTTCAGTTCTTGGGTGGAGTTGCCGGGTCCTCTGGCTGCCTCACCGCCTCACAGCTGCCCTGTTCTGTGAGCGCTGCTGGCCTCAGCCGGCCTCAGGCCCTGCTGTACCCCGCAGCCCTGGAGGTGTTGACTTGCTTCTGAGTAGCCTGTGATTCACCCAGAACTTTGCAGACCTGTCTCAGTGTGCCGGGCCTTGTTTACTGTGGTGCTGAGATGGTCTCCTTAGCCAGACAAACACACGACACTGAGCTGCAGCCTGCTCCTTGCCAGACAAATACACAACACTGAGCTGCAGCCTGCCCCTTGCCAGACAAACACACAACACTGAGCTGCAGCCTGCCCCTTGTCTTTTTGGGACAGTGTCTCACTCTGTAGCCCAACCTGGCCCAGAACTTGAGATCCTGCTGCCTCTGCTTCCTGAGTGCTGAGATTATAGGAATGTGCCACCATGCTTGACCCAAATGTAGTTTATTTTCTTTCTTTCTTTTTTTTTTCCTCAGTCATGGGGCTTGAACGCTAGGCCTTGGCACTGTCCCTGAGCTCTTCAGTTCAAGGCGAGCGCTCTACCGCTAGAGCCACAGTTTCACTTCCAGTTTTCTGATGATTAATTGGTGATAAGAGTCTCATGGAGTGGCGCTGTGGCTCAAGCGTTAGAGCGCTCTCCTTGAGCTGAAGAGCACAGGCACAGCGCCCAGGCCCAGAGTTCAAGCCCCACGACCAACCAAAAAAAAAAAAGTCTCATGGACTTTGCTGCCCAGGTGCTTTGAAACTCAATCCTCAGATCTCAGCCTTCTGAGTAGCTAGGATTACAGGCATGAGCCACCAGTGCCTGGTGTGGTTTATTTTCTGCTGGCACTAGGGCTTGAACTCAAAGACTTGTGTTCTTGCTTGGCTTTTCCTTTCTTCCTTTTTTTTTTGGGTTGGTCATGGGGCTTGAATTCAGGGCCTAGGCACTGTCCCTGAGCATTTTTGCTCAAGGCTAACACTCTTACTACTTTCAACCACAATTCTACTTCTGGTTTTCTGGTAGTTAATTGGAGATAAGAGTCTCAGTTTCCTGCCTGGGCTGGCTTTGAATGACAATTCTCAGATCTCAGCTTACTGTATAGCTAGGATTACAGGCATGAACCACGATGTCTGGCTCTTCTTTTTTTTTTTCTTCTTTTTTGGGGTAATAGGGGGTCGGTCATGGGGCTTGAACTCAGGGTCTAATCACTGTTCCTGAGCTTTTATGCTCAAGGCTAGCTAGTATTCTACCACTTTGAGCCACAGCACCACTTCTAGCTTTCTAGTGGTTAACTGGAGATAAGAGTCTTAGGGACTTTGCTGCCCAGGCTGGCTTTGAACCATGATCTTTAGATCTCAGCCTCCTGAGTAGCTAGGATTACAGGCATGAGCTATCAGTGTTCAGTTGGCTTTTCTTTTTCTTTTTCTTTTTTTAATTTTAATTTTTGGTGGTACTAGGTATGACTTCCAGGCCTTAAAATTGCTAGCCTGGTACCCAGTCCTTTTTACTCTGATCATTTTCTTCTGTGTTTTGTTTTTTGAATGGAGACAATACAAGCTTATGTATTAGAACATCAGAAAATTCTCTGATAAAGGAACCCACTTTGCAAACTATTTCTTTTTTGTTGTTTTTTTGTTTTTTTGGGTCCGGTCGTGGGGCCTGAACTCTGGGCCTGGGTGCTGGCCCTCAGCTCTTCAGCTCAAGGCTAGTGCTCTACCACTTGAGCCACAGCACCACTTCCAGCTTTTTTCCTTTTGCTTATGTGGTGCTGAGGAATCAAACCCAGGGCCTCATGCATGCAAGGCAAGCGCTCTCCCACTGAGCCACCTTCCCAGCCCTTTGCAAACTATTTCACACAGTCCTTATAGTACATGTACATTAAAAATACTGTCCTTAGCCAGGTGCTGGTGGCTCACGCCTGTAATCCTAGCTACCCAGGAGGCTGAGATCTGAGGATCGCGGTTCAAAGTCAGCCCGGGCAGGAAAGACCATTAGACTCCTATCTCCAATAAACCACCAGAAAACCGGAAGTGGCGCTGTAGCTCAAGTGGTAGAGCGCTCGCCTTGAGCTGAAGAGCCAAGGGACAGCACTCAGGCCCAGAGTTCAAGCCCCACGACCGACAAAAAAAAAAAAATACTGTCCTTAGCCAGGCGCTGGTGGCTTACGACTGTAATCCTAATGACTGAGGAGGCTGAGATCTGAGGATCATGGTTCAAAGCCAGCCCAGGCAAGGAAAGTCCCTGAGACACTTATCTCCAATAAACCACTAGAAAACTGGAAGTGGCGCTGTGGCTCAAGTGGTAGAGTGCTATCCTTGAGCTGAAGAGCGCAGGGACAGCGCCCAGGCCTAGAGTTCAAGCCCCACGACCAACCAAAAAAAAAAAACCACTGTCCTTGAATAAGGTATAAGTGTAGCTTTATAACGTTTAGGAAAGTGAGTCTCCTGTTTTTGACTGGACCAGCCTGTACTGCAACCCCACGGATGTACCCCATAAGCCAAGAGGACGGGCGTGTGTCACCGTGCCTGTCAATTGAGAGCCTCCTGGTCTCTGCCTCTGCTGCTGGTGTGTGACAAGGCTGTGTCACCTTTGGAAACAAATTGGACAGAGCGCCGTACCCCAGAGTCCCTCGCTGCCACATGCTAGGACCCCACTTCCCCAAGAGCCGTGGTGCTCATGCCCATGGGGCAACGACCCGACCACGTGGCAGCCGTCAGATCTCCCAGCCGTGGCCAGGTGCCCTGTGAACTCAGCCTGTCCTCCTGCCCACAGGCCAACGCGCTCCTGATCCGGGAGGTGGACGTGGAGAAGGTAACCACGTTCGAGCAGCAGTATGTGAACGCCATCAAGACGCTGTGGAACGACCCCGGCATCCAGGAGTGCTACGACCGCCGGCGCGAGTTCCAGCTCTCTGACTCGGCTAAGTAGTGAGTGCCGGCGTGCCTGCCCCGGGCCCAGCCCTCCAGGGTTTCCTAGGAGTCCGAGAGCCAGAGGGCTGTGCCATGGAGTAGTTCCCATGGTGCACCGGGGCCCGCCCCGTGCTTCCCTTCAGCTGTCCCAGGAGCTTTCCTTGTTCCTGTCACTTCTGTCCCCAGTCCAGAATAATCCAGGCAGCTCCACCATCCAGTGCAGGCATCACAGTGCCAGGCCTTATCCCTGTCCTGTCCCCGTCCTGCTGTCCCGGGACAGCAGTCCCTGAGCAGCCCCTCCATGCTGTGTTGCAGTTACCTGACTGACGTGGACCGCATTGCCACCGTGGGCTACCTGCCCACCCAGCAGGATGTGCTGCGGGTCCGTGTGCCCACCACTGGCATCATCGAGTACCCCTTCGACCTGGAGAACATCATCTTCAGGTGCCATGCGGGGGGGGGGGGGGAAGGCCACTGGGGATGGGGAGGCCACAGCCAGGGAGGAGGACTGAGGGCCCAGGGGCCTGGGCTGAGGCCTGGCTCGGCCACTGGCAGTTGGGTACCTGGAGATAGACAGGTCTCTCGCACCCACACAGCACCCCAGCTTATTCAGAGCCACCAGAGGGCAAGGCCCAGTGCGTGAGTCCTGGGGCCACCAGGGCAGAGGTAGGGCTGTGTTCCCACTGTGCAGTGCCATTCTGTGTATGGGCTTGGTTGTGCCAGGGCCTAGAGGCGGTGGGCTGGAGTGGGGGGGATGGGGAGGCTTCCTCCCTATCCAGCCTCTGTCTAGGTTCTAAGCTGGGGTCCTGGAGTCTTGAGGAGACCCCAGACACCCCTGCTCTGAGGAGAGGACCCTCTCTAGGCCCCTGACACAGAGGCAGACAGTGGTCCCCACATGTCCAGGGTCCATATGTGGGGAGAGGGGAGATGAGGAGCCACGCTGCCCAGCTCACCCAGGGATGCCCCTGCAGACGTGGGGTTGGGGTCTGCCTCAGGGGTGGGGCTGAGCGCCCATTGGCTTACAGGATGGTGGATGTGGGTGGACAGCGATCAGAGAGGAGGAAGTGGATCCACTGCTTTGAAAACGTCACGTCCATCATGTTTCTCGTGGCGCTCAGCGAGTACGACCAGGTCCTGGTGGAGTCTGATAATGAGGTGTGTGGGGCTCCCCTGGGGTGGTGGGTGGGGATGCGCCGCAAGTCCCCACGGCAGGCAAATGGGCAGCCTGCTCACACACCACCTTCCTCCCTCAGAATCGCATGGAGGAGAGCAAGGCGCTCTTCCGCACCATCATCACCTACCCCTGGTTCCAGAACTCCTCCGTCATCCTCTTCCTCAACAAGAAGGACCTGCTGGAGGACAAGGTTCTGCACTCGCATCTCGTCGACTACTTCCCAGAGTTTGACGGTGAGGGGCGCTGAGGCCAGTCCTGGGGCGGGGGGTGCGCCTTGTGGCAGGAGTGAAGCAGGCAGGTACTGAGGGTGAGGGGCGTGGCCTGGCCCTGGGCAGGCAGCTGTTGCTGGCCTGGTCCTTCAGAGCTGCTGGGGAACCCTCTGCAGCTTCCTCTCCCTCCAGAGGCCCCCTGGGGTCAGAGTGCTGGAAAGCAGCAGAAAGTGGGGTTCACAGTAGTGATGTATGTGGCTGGGCTGAGTTCTTGTTCTCCCTGGGGTATGGAGTAGGGACAGCACCTGCCTCCCCCCAATACCGTGTGCCCCTTCCCAGCCCAGCCTGGGGTCTCCAGCTCTGCTGTGGAGGATCCAGGGTGCAATCCTGTGCCCTCCCCGAGGCCTTCCCCGTGCAGGACGCCCTCCTCCCTCCCTGCACCCCAGAGCCAGCAGGATGGTGGGTGGGGAGCAGTGCCTGCTGCACCTGGCAGGCAGGACTTGGCCCAGCCTGGAGGGGACTGGAGGCCCCTGGGGTGGCCCCCGACGTGAGCCCCTCCCCCGCCGTGCGCAGGGCCCCAGCGGGACGCGCAGGCCGCCCGCGAGTTCATCCTGAAGATGTTCGTGGACCTGAACCCCGACAGCGACAAGATCATCTACTCGCATTTCACGTGCGCCACGGACACGGAGAACATCCGCTTCGTGTTCGCGGCGGTGAAGGACACCATCCTGCAGCTCAACCTGAAGGAGTACAACCTGGTGTAGCCGCGCCGCGGCCCGGGCGCCCCGCCCGCCGCCAGCCCCCGCACCTTCTCCCCGCGGCCGGGCGGGGCCGCCCGCCGCCCTTGCCTTGTCGCCCGATCGTTTTCTACAGAAAGAAAAAGGAAATTCAACCGAAGCCAAGCCAGTGGAACGGAACGGAGGAGCCGCAGTGCGCATGCGCCCCGGGAGGCCGGCCTGGCCGGCCTGGCCCGCGCTGCGCCTGCGCCGTATCCACCCCGGGCGTCCCGAGGCCCGGCTGGGGGGGGGGCGCGGGCCACCGTCTCTTGTCTCCCCCTCCCCCGGTTTTCCCCCCTCCCGGCGGAGGAGCGCTGGGCCCGAGGCCGTCCCGGCCTCTTTTTAAGTTATTGCTGTCCGCGGCCCGCGCCGCGCCGCTCCCGGACTCCGCGAAGTGGGGTGCGCCCGCCCGCCCGCGCCCGCGCGCCCTGGGAAGTGCCTCACTGTTCTTTTTGTTGTTGTTATGTTTTTGTTTTTGAAAAAAACCACAAAACAAAAGGTTCACCGGCTCTGCGGCCGAGCCGCCCGCCGGCCCGGGAGGCCGCGCGCCCGGGAGGCCGCGCCGGGCTGGGGCGGGCGGGGCCGGCCGCGGGGTCTCGGGTTTGGAATCGGGGTGCAGCGGGGACTCTTTCAGAATATTCTCAGGTCTGTCCCCCAGACAGGAGGCCCCGGCTGGCGGCTGGGGGGGCGCGGCGGCGGCTTCGGCCTGCGGAGGGGGGGCGCGTCCGCCCCGCCCCTGCGCGGCCCCGCCCCGTGGCGCCCCGCCCACAGCGCCCGCGGAGGCCCCGCCCCCTGCGCGGCCCCGCCCGCAGCGCCCGCGGAGGCCCCGCCCACAGCGCCCGCCCGCGGCCCTGGGCGCGGGACCCCGGCGCCCGCCGCGTCTCCTGTGCCACGTCTGCCTTGGAGGTCAGTGCCATAGCGCCCCCGCCCCGCCGCGCTCCGCGGGCGGCCTGGCGTCCGGGGAATGGAAGGGAGCGGGACTCGGGCGCGGCGGCCGGGGCGCCCCAGCCGGCCCAGTTAGCCCCTCCCAGGGGCGGTGTGTGCCAACCGGCCCGGCCCGGGCGCTCGCCGTGCCAACGTCCCCTCCGTACACGCGCAGCCACCCCAGGAGCATGCGGCCGGGGCCCCACCCGACGCCCCGACGGAAGCCGACTTTTCATATCTTTCTCCCGAAATGAATCGTTTTAAATTGGAATAAATTTTGTTCCTAAACGCCGCTGTCTCTGTGTGGGCCGCGCCCGCCCCGGGGCCGCCCGGCCCGGCCCGGCCCAGCCCAGCCCGGGGGGCGGGGTGCCACAGACACAGGCTCTGCGTGAGCCCCAGCTGAAGCAGGGGCGGGCCTGGGCTCGGGAGCAGAGCGCCAGGCCCGGGGTTCGAACCCCAGTCCGGTTCGAACCCCGCCCATCAACTGCGGCAGGAAGCCGGCGGGATCTGCCACTAACGCTTGGACCCGGACCCGAGGGCCCCGGGCAGCACCGCAGCCGCGCTCTCCCACACTGCCGCTGCGCCCCTTCGCCCCATGCCCTCCGGGGCCCTGGCGCCCTACCCGCTTCCTGTCTTGGGGCCTTCTGGGAGTGGGTGCTGCCGCGTCGTGAGGTCAGAGCCTCCCCTGCTCCCGGCTGAGCAGTGTTCCACAGCCGTGGTCCGCTCTACGGCTTCATCGGCCGTGGGGAAGCGGCTTGCTCCTGCATCTTGGCCTTTGGGAATCAGGCCCATAGCAAGGTGGGATTTCAGCTTTTTGGGTGCATACCCAGTGGTTGGAATGGCTGGAGCTTTGAGAGCCCTGTGTGCGCAGGCGCTGGGGGAGGGGCAGGACCTGTGTATGGGGGGGCCTGCGCTTCCCACGGAGCCTCCCTGCGGCCCCCATGCTGGGCTTGGTGGACCCCCTGCCCCACGGCCCCCACGGGTACCTTCCCACCCAGCTGACTCAGCCATTCCACTTTGTTCGTGTCCATCAGGCTTAGGGCCCGTGGGTGTGGGGGAGGGGACCATCATGGTTGCAACTCCTCCCCTCCCCCGAAGAAGAAATAGGGGCCAGGGAAAGGAACAGGATGGGCCAGTAGGGACCAGTTTAGATCAGCCCGTAGTGGGAGAGCGGCGAGTGAGGGAAGGAGGCCCGGGAAGGAGCTATGGTGGTTAATTGAGGGCCTAGCACCCAAGGCAGGAGGCAGAGCCCATGTGAAGATCCTGGGGCATAGGTCTGGGGGGGGCGGGGGAGCTCGGTGGTAGAGCGCTTGCCTTGCATGCGTGAGGCCCTGGCTTCCATTCCTGTGCACCACAAAAGCAGAAAAAGTCAGAAGTGGCGCTGTGGCTCAAGTGGTAGAGCGCTCGCCTTGAGCTGAAGAGCTGAGGGACAGCGCCCAAGCCCAGAGTTCAGGCCCCAGGACCGGCAAAAAAAAAAAAAAAAAAGATCCTGGGGCAGAAGGAAGCCTGGAGGAGCAGTGAGGAGGGAGGGAGGAGCAGAGGCAGGAGGGGACAGAGCTGGACTTGCAGGGCCTTGGTGGGCTGCTGGGAGGATTGGGCTTGACCCTGAGGGAGACCCTGGAGGGCTGTGGGCAGAGGAGGTGGCCCCTATGGAGGACACTTGAGGGGGTGAGGATGGCGTTGGGGGCTCGGCATTGAGACAGGTGCCCCAGGTGGTGGGAGAGTGCGGCTGGCTGAGGTGTGCAGGGGGAGTCTTGATTGGAAAGTGGGTGCTGGGAAGGGAACCTGGCCAAGACATGCTGGGGACGGGTGTCATGCTCCACGGTGTCCAGCAGGTGTCACCCAAAGCAACCTCTGGCCTCTGCCCATTCTTGTCACATTCTTCTGTGGAACAGCCAAGTTCCCATCCTCCTAGTTCTGAAAGAGAAACAGAACCAGGCAGCCAGGTTCGGTGGGCACGCCTGCCCAGAATGTGGAGGCCAAGGCAAAAGGACCTGGGTTCAAGGCCAGTCCGGGCCTGGAATAACAACAAAAAGAGTTTGGCTTTCTCAGTGCTTTCTTCATTTGCACTGGAGCTGGGCGCGGGTGGCTCAAGCCTGTCATCCTAGCTACTCAGGAGGCTGAGTCGGGGATCACGGTTTGAAGTCAGCCTGGGTAGAATAATCCCCGCGAGACTCATCTCCAATAAACTACTCAAACAAGCTGGAAGGGGTGCAGTGGCTCAAGGGGTAGAGCGCTAGCCTTGAGCCCTGAGGCCCAGGGACAGCGCCCAAGTCCTGAGTTCAAGTCCCAGGACTGCCAATAATAATAATAAATGAATAGAAAAATATTCCCTGGAAATAATAAAATCCACACCTTTCTGCCCAGATTACACCCAAAGCAAGAGGAAACAAAGGGGATAGGGACATGTAGCTAACAAGACCCCCACGGGAGCCAGCCCCGCTCACCCCACAGAAATGAGCCCTAAAAAACGGGAATTCAGAGCCTTGCAACTGCTAGCCTGGGTCCCCTCTCCCGCTCTGGCCACGCCTCCTCTGCTCGAGCCACGCCCCCGACAAGTTTGGCAACACCCATCTTGCTGAGCCACGCCCCATGCCTGAGCCACACCCTCTGGCCGGAGTCACGCCCCCCGCACTGGAGCCACGCCCATGCTACCCAAGCCACGCCCCCTCACAGCTGAGTCACACCTCCAAGCCCCTGCTTTTGCATTCCGTTACCTTGGAGGTAGGGTCTCCCTTTAGGATGGCTGCGATCAGCTTGAGCCACACCCTCTAAGCCTTTCTGCTTTCCTTGTTTTTAGGATGGGGTCTCTCACAGTTATGCCTGGAGAAGCCTGGGACCGCGATCCTCTTATTTATGCTTTCCAGTTAGCCAGGATGACAGGTTCAAGGGAGACCCTCTCCCCGCCTCTGCTTCCTGAGCGCTGAGGCCTTGTGGCTGCCACTTGGGCCATGTGTCTGTGTGGTTTTCTTTTGTTAGATTTCCAGCTGGGGACATGTGGCTCAAGAGATAGAAGGCAGGTCTAGCAACCACAGGGCACTGAGTTCAAGCCCTTGTACTACCAAAAAAAAAAAGAGAGAGAGAGAGAGAAAATCCCTGCCCATGTCCCTCACCCTGTGTAATCAAATGAACTCCTGATACATTACACAACCCCACGTGGACAGGAAGCAGCCTGGCCTGTTTGGGGAACTAGAGAGAGTTTCTTCTGACAAGAGGAAAACCAACCGGAGGCCCTTAGGCTGGTGCTGTTTATGCTGAGGCCAGAATTCTGGGCGCCATAGAAAGTGTTAGAGAGTCTCATCTAGGGTCATCCTAGCTACTCAGTAATCCTAGATCTGAGGATCACGGTTCAAAGCCAGCCCAGGCAGGAAAGTCCCTGAGACTCTTACCTCCAATGAACCACCAGAAAACCAGAAGTGGCGCTGTGCCTCAAGTGGTAGAGCGCTCGTCTTGAACTGAAGAGCTGAGAGACAGCGCCCAGAGTTCAGGCCCCATAACTAACAGAAGAAAGAAAAGGTGGGTGGGGAGGAGGGGAGACTATCACTGGAATGGTCAGCCAGGGCAGGAGTTAGGAGGGGCCCCGGCTCCCCAGCCTGCTCCTCAGCCAGACTGCCTGCCAGATCCTCCAGCTACTTCTGTCCCTGGTTTACCCCCAGCCATCCAGTCTCCTGGGTGGGGGTGATGGGCTGACCCCAGTGACCCCCTTCCTCATGCATCGACAGCAGGAAAACCGCGCCTTTATCCACCAGCCACCAGCCTCGGGTGGGGAGGAAGGGAGAGGCGGTTGTTGTCAACGGCTGTGTGGCTGTGGGCACGCACCCCCCTCCTCTGAGCCCTCCAGGACTTCCTCCGTGAGGGCCTCGGCCCTCCACATGGTGTGTGAACCTCTGAGCACGGCCGGGGAGCAGGATCTCTAGGGGTCGGGGGAGAGAAAGGTGTTTTTGTTTTGTTTTGTTTTGCCTGTCCCGAGACTTGAACTCAGGGCTTAGACTCTGCTTTTCTTTGGCTCTACCATTTGAGCTGCAGCTCCGATCGTAATTTATTGGAGATCAGCATCTCACGGACTTTTCCCACCCTGGGCTGGCTTTGAACCTCGATCCTCAGAGCTCAGCCTCCGAGTAGGCAGGCTGACAGCGAGAACCACTGGCGGCTGGCAGAAAGGCATTTTAATCCAGAACTTTCCACAGCTTCTCAAGGGAGCAGACATGATGATGATTTGCTGGGGCTGGAGACAGGTTTCTTCTCAGGGGGTCTAAAAGGGGGGAAGGGACACGGTGTCTAGGGATCTGTGGGGGATGGGCCTTGCTTGGCAATGACCCTTTGACCCCCAGACTCAAGTTGAAATCCGTTTATTCCCCGTGGGCCTGTGTCGCAAGGGCTAAGTCCAGGCCCCTTTCTTCACCCCCTTATTTCAAGCCGCACCCCAACATCTCTGCTTATTTTTGCCCCAAGTTTCTCATCACCCAACAGGCTCTGTGTGTGTGTGTGTGTGTGTGTGTGTGTGTGTGTGTGTGTGTTTAAAGACTTGAGCATTCCCTCTCTGTCTCCCTAATTACAATGCCAGACACTTTTGTCATTGGCTGGACAGACCAGAACCCTGCCTGGTAAACTGTAGGCGCCCTATAATGCACACGGAGGGAAGGCACAGCCCCCTCCCCAACTCTACACATTGAGCCTCTGGATCCCTATGGGTGAGAGACAAGTTTCCCAAGGCTCTGTTCTGTCCCTGGCCGCGGCCCCCTAGGAAGTGACTCCCTGCCTGGCTCCCTGCCTCAGTTTCCTCATCTGTGGGAGGATTGGGAAGAGGGGTAGAGGATGATTAGAGCAAGCTCAGTTAGAGAGAGCCCGGGGAAGAGGCCTGGCCCCGGCCCCCCTGGTTCCTAATTGGCTGGAAACAGGGAGTGGGGGGCAGCTCAGGAGGAGGAAGGAGGCTGCAGCTGCCTGCTGGGGAGACCCTGGGCTTTGGGGGTGCCTGCTCCATGCCCTGCCCTCCCCCTGGCCTCCAGCCTTTTGCCGCCAACCTGTTGGTCCGGGTTCTGGGCAGGTTGGAGGTGGGCGGGAGCCCCGAACCTCCCCGCCTCCAGCCTCCACCCGTCCCCACCCTGTTCCCAGCACGCCCTGGTCTCCCTCACACGGGCCTGGCCCAGCCTCCCTCCAGACTGGAGAGGGACTGGAGAGTCTCTGAGGGTGGTCCTCGAGAACAAAGCAGGCAGAGGGGCCGGGGCAGGGTGTGTGTGTGTTGGGGGGGCCCAGCCCTGGCCATCAGGGGGGGCCCAGGGGGGCCATGCCTCCTGGCGCCCTGTGAGGCCAGCACCATGGCCCGCTCGCTGGGCTCGCTCACCGGCGCCTGCTGCCCGTGGTGTCTCTCCGAGGACGAGCGCACGGCTGCCAGGATCGACCAGGAGATCAACAAGATCCTTCTGGAACAGAAGAGGCAGGATCGTGGGGAGCTGAAGCTCCTGCTTCTGGGTGAGTGTTGGGGGGGGGCAGTGGAATCAGGGTGGGGGGTGTGTGGAGGGCCAGGCAGGCAAGGGGAGGGAGATGGTGGTCCGGACTTAACACCAGACCAGAGACCCATTTTTGGGTTGGCAACACACAGGCACAAGAAAGGCAGGTTCCTAACCCTGGGGGGGTGGGTGCCACACACAGGCTGGGCGAGGGACTAGGCCCGGCCTGGCAGGGCCCCGGGCCACCCAGCAGGCCCAACACGCCGGACCGGACCAGCCTGGCCGGGAGCGGTGATGCGGGCCCGGCCCCATGGGGCACAGCAAGCTGTGAAGGCCCGGGCCTGACGACTGACTTATTCATTCATTCATTCATTCCCTTGTTCCGTCCTTTGAGTTTTGGTTCATTGGAGATTAAGAGTCTCAGGAACTTCTCTGTCCTGGCTTGGCTTTGAACTGCCGTCCTCAGATCTCAGCCTGCTGAGTGGCCAGCGTGACAGGCGGGAGCCGCTGCATCAGGCTCAGGGTTTGACGTCTCGAGGTCGGCACTGTGCAACTTCGGGATGTTGCTGCCTCCAGGCCTCAGTTTCCCCGCCCTTGGGTTCCCCTCACATCCCCACACATGCGAATACGATCCCTCACCTACACACACACACCCCCACCAACACAGAGGAGTTGCGGGCATGGGATGGGCCACCCCTAGAGGAAGTGGAGATGGAAGGGGAACCCACAAAGATGGCACTGCATCCAGGTCGCTCCAACTCTGGCCTTAATCCCCCTCGTTAAACCAGGCCCGTCCCCCCCAAAATGGTGTGTGTGTGTGTGTGTGTGTGTGTGTGTGTGTGTGTGTGTGTGCGCATATGCGCTTTCTTTCATTTTTTGGCAACCCCTGACCACCAGCTTGCACGTTTTTATTGTCACCCCCATAATGAAAGGTTTTAGTTGTTGTTTTCCTTTCCATGGTTCTGAGGTTTGAATTCAGTCCCTTTGCGCCCATTAGGCAGGTGCTCTTCCATGTGAGCCACGCTCCCAGCCCCAAGTCTGGAAACTATATAATGAAGACAATGTTTTGTTTTTTTTTTTCCCAGTAGATAGCCAGCTCTCCAAGGGCTGGGAGCAGTAGCTCACACCTCTAATCCCAGCTAGTGTGGAGGTAAAGAGCAGGAGGATTGTGGTTTGAGGATAGCCAGGGCAGTGCCAGTGCTCAGGCGCTGAGTTCAAGTCTCAGTATCAGTGCACACACAGACACACAGACATGACAAAATAAGTAGGTCTTCATAGAAAAGGCACTCTCCAGTCAGCGCACTACTGCGTACCACATCTGTGTATTCTGATGTGTTGCACTTTGTCTCAGTGAGTCATTTGTGACTTTACCCTTTTTCCCATGCAGGGAGGGGATTGATCCATTTGAACAATGTGTTCCTTTCCCTACCACAGGGCCTTTGCACCTGCCCTGTCAAGACCTCTCGGTCTCCTGGCTCCAGCCATTGCACCGCTGGCCCTTGCACCCCATGGGCAATTCAGCCCAAGGGCCCCCTCTTGAGAGAGCAATTGTTTGCTCCTCACCATTCTCTGTCCAAAGTCCCCCTCGTGGCCTCTCCCCTGTGCTAGGAACTGGTTTGTGTCATTGCTTGTCCATCTTCTCCAGACAGGGTTTGTATCCTTTTTCCTCCTACTTCCTTTTTTTTTTGTGCCCATCCTGGGGCTTGAACTCAGGGCCTGGGCCCTGCCCCTGAGCTTCTTGCACAAGGCTAGTGCTCTACCTCTTGAGCCACAGCGCCACTTCCAGCTTTTCTTGGTGGTTTGTTGGAGGCTCAGAGTCTCATGGACTTGCCTGCCCGGGGCTGGCTCTGAACTGTGATCCTCAGATCTCAGCCTCCTGAGGAGCTAGAACGACAGGTGGGGGGGCACTGGCACCCGGCTCCTGGCTGTCTTTGTGTTCTGAGCACAGGACACAGGTCCAGGGCGAGTCTGGTATACAGCAGGTACTTCATACATGCATACAACTAAAGAAATGATCCAACCGTCCGGTCAGGAGGTGTGTGTGCAGAGTGTCCCCGAACCAGAGGCTGCGCCATGCCTAGTCAGCTCTAAATCGGGGAACCCCTTCTCTGCCTGGGCTCCGGAAAGAGCTGTCTGTGCCCTCGGGCTCTGGGGGGGGGGTGCAGACCCGCCCAGCCCCTTCCTGCCTCTGCCCTGCCCTCCCCCACTCCCCAAAACAGGAATTGAATCCAAAGGTTTTGCTTATTTATTTATTTTTAATTTCCTGGGTGGGGGAGATATTTTGAGGAAGCTGTTGAGGGGACCCTGGGTTGAGGGGGACATGGGGCGGGGGCTCTGTGCCTGGCATCACCATCTCTGGCAGGGGCCACAGAAAGAACCCCAACACAGACAGGGAAACTGAGGCTCGGGGACATGTTACAATTTTGCCAGGCAATTTAGTCTCTTGCTGCCCCAGGGCCACCCAAGCCTGGATACTGTTGCTCTACCACCCCGTTTTCTGGGGCTCATGCTGGATTCTCGTGATTTAGGAGGGGACCCGGCAGGGCTCACCCCACTTTTCCAGGCATCTATCTACCTGTTTTCCCCTTACACTCACCAGAGGAAGAAGCGCTTGCTCCTCCCCCCAGGTGGGAAAGCCCCCCCCCCACCAGTAAGTACCTGGTACCCCTTCCTCTGGTGGCTTCCCAAAACAGACTTAGGTCACCCCACTTCTGCCCAACGGCTGGAAGCCCCCCCCTCTACCCCATGACAGGCTTGACTGGAACATTCAGACTCTAGTTATGATGCGTTCATGACTCATGCGGTCTGTGTTGTGGGGGATAGGGAAGAGCACCCCGAGTTTTTGTCTTTACTGAAAGAAAAAAAAAAAAGAAGAGAAAGAAATCAGATCAACTTCACTAAATGAAGTTAGCTGTTCTCTGGGGAACACTGTGCACTGTTCTCTCTTTTTTGTGGGGAGATCTAAGAATTTGGAGACCAGGTGCCAGTGGCTCACACCTGTCATCCTTGCTACGCAAGAGGCTGAGATCTGAGGACTGTGGTTCGAAGCCAGCCCATGCAGGAAAGTCTGTGAGACGCTTATCTCCCATGAACCAGCAAGAAAAGAAAAAAGCCAGACGGGGAAACTGGGCGCTGGTGGCTCACGCCTGTCATCCAGCTACTTAGGAGGCTGAAATCTGAGGTTCACAGTTCAAAGCCAGCCTAGGCAGGAAAGTCTGTGAGACTCCTATCTCCAATGAATCACAGAAAAAAGCTGGAAGTGACACTGTGGCTCAAGTGGTAGAACAACACTAGCCTTGAGCAAAAGGAGCTTAGGGAAAGTTCCAGGCCCAGAGTTAAGCTTCAGGACTGGCAAAAAGAAGCCAGACTTGGAGCTGTGGTTCAACAGGTAGAGTGCCAGCCTTGAACAAAAAGAAAAGGTAAAGCCAAAAGACAGCGCCCAGGCCGAGTTCAAGCCCCAGGTCTCAAAATCCAGGGCATGGGCTCTGGACTCAGAATTGGTTTGAGTCCCAGCTCAAGGCAATGTCTACACTGCCCCCATGACTCAGTTTCCCCATATCAAATGGTCAAGAGCCATTGTCCATGGTGGTGAGGTTCAGCAGGATGCGCTCCTGGCGGCCTCCAGGGGCCCCTTGGCTGTAAGGAGCCCCCGTCCTGGGAGCTGCCCTGGGGTCCCTCTGTGGGAACCTCTCGGGGACATGGCTGATCTCAATCACCGCCACAGTCATTCGTGGCTTTTGCTGTGTCCTACCATCGGTTCCTGGAAGATGAGAGTCTCATGGGCTTTCCTGCCCTGGATGGCTTCAAACCCAGGTCCTCAGATCTCAAGATTACAGGTGTGAGCCACATAGGTAATTGATTTTCACACCTAGGTGTGAAAAATGTGTGTTACACTTTTTGGTGCTAAGATGGGCCCTGAGGCCTCACAGAGCCTGAGCAGACACTCTGCACAGCCCTGCCCTCCCTGCTACAAAGGTTTTGTTTTTGAGTCACCTGAATTTTCTTCCTTCCTGGGCCATTCCTTGGCTTGATGGAGACGTGGCTTCAGCTCGGGGGCGTGGTGAAAGCTCCGGAGGCGTGGCTCTAGTGCTGGGGCGTGGCCCATGCGGTGGGGGCGTGGCTCTAGTGCCAGGGCATGGTCAAAGCGATAGGGCGTGGCTCTAGTACTGGGGCGTGGTCAAAGCAATAGGGCGTGGCTCTGTTGCTGGGGCGTGGCCAATGTGGTGGGGGCATGGCTCTAGTGGGAGAGAGCCTATCTATCTGGCAAGTGCAAGGCCCTGAGTTCGAATCCTACCACCACCAAAAGAAAAAGAAAATGATGGAAGAACCGTACCAATAGCCATCAGGGCAGGAGATCAGTCCACACTGGAGACCCGTCCGCAGCTGACCTGCCTGATTCTCACTGATTGTCCCCATCCCCCGCCATCCTTGCCCCAAATGCCCTTGGCAGAAATGGACTTGCTTGGAACTTGGGAGTCCAAGAAATCATGACAGGGAAACTGAGGCCCGCAGAGTGCAGGTAGCCACCCCGGATCTTGTCTATGTGGTCCTCAGAGGTGTGGAGCTCTGCTTGTGAGGTGGGGAGGGGGTGTGTGACTGTCCAGAGCCCCTCCCCTCCCTTCCTGTGCCCTCCTCCTCCTCTCCTCCCCTCCCCTCCCTCCTCCACTCCTGTTTCCTCTTTCTGGGACACCAGGCCACCCCTTCCCCTTTTTGGCTATGGACTCCAGTTCCTCCAGCATTAGACACCCCCGCCCCGAGGAGAGCCAGGATCCCTGTCTGGACCCCTCCTACCCCCCCTGTGGCAGTCCCCCCCAGGACTCCCAGATCCCAGTTTTCAGCTAGGAACAGAAAGGCAGGTCAAGGCCAGGGCTCCACACCAGGGCCCGCGGTCTCCCCTTGCTGGACTTTCCTCCTGAGCTTCGCAGGACTTTCTCCTGTCCCTCCCCCCCAGCATGACCTAGAGGTTCTGTCCCCCAAATACCCCTTCAATATGCCCCTGCCTTCTTCAGGGTCAAAGCTCAAGTTCTTCCTGTAGGCCCCCCCCCAGGGTCCTTCACCACCCACCCCGGGTCCTCCTCCCCCCTCCGGCCCTCACTCCCTCTGATCCAGCCACATGGCCTCCTCCATGTTCCTCCCACATGCCAGGCTCTCTCCTACCCCAGGGCCTTTGCATGAGCTGTGCCCTCTGTCTGGAGGTCTGTTCTTCCACATGCCACCTTCAAATCTGAATCCTGAAATCCACCTCCACCCCAAGGCCTCCTCTGCCCACTGAGCTACGGAAGTCACCAAATGGCTGAGCTCTGTCCTTACTTTTTATGCCTTCAAGAAAGAATGAAATGATGCATGTAAACAATGAATCCAGATCAACACTCAGCAACATTCTCCTTTACCTTCCTCCCCTGCCCGCTTCTTAGAACAATCTCAAGCAGGTTTCTTTGTTTCTTTGTGTTGTGATACCTAACACGCTCTTGTTTTCCTTCCTGTCATTCTGTTTCTGAGGTGCTGAGGATTGAACCTGGGGCCTCTTCCTGACTAATCAGTGCTCTGCCCCTTTTCTACCTTGGTTATCTTTGAGGTAGAGTCTTGCTTTATGCCGGGACAGCCTGGGCTGCTTGTGTTTCCCTATGTCACTGGGGATGACAGGCAGGCACTACCATGCCCAGCCACTGGTTGAGATAGAGTCTCTCTTGGAATTTTCTTTTGTCTGGGCTGGCCCCAAAAGGCAATCTGATCTCAGATTCCTGCATAGCTAGGATTACAGGCATGATCCACTTTCCCGGACTCCTTTCAGTTGGTTTTAGTTGCTGTTGCTGTTACTGTTTTATTTTTGTGCCGGTTCTGGTACTTGAACTCAAGTCCTGGGTGCTGTCCCTGAGCTTTTTCACTCAAGGCTGGTGCTCGACCACTTGAGCCACAGCTCCACTTTAGGCTTTGTGGTGGTTCATTGGAGAGAAGTGTCATGTACTTTTGGAGCTGGGCACTGGTGGCTGGTGGCTCACGCCTGTCATCCCAGCTACCCAGGAGGCTGAGATCCGAGGATCGCGGTTCAAAGTCAACACTGGCAGGAAAGTCCATGAGACTCTGATCTCCAATGAACCACCACCCAGTGCTAGTCTTGAGTTTCCAGACCCTGAATTCAAGCCTCAGGATGGGCACCATTAAAAAAAAAGGAGTCACATACTTTCCTAGCTGGGCTGGCTTTGAACAACAGGCCTCAGATCCTAGCTTCCTGAGGAGCCAGGATTACAGGCATGAGCCACAGCACCTGCTTCCTTTCTCGGAGTCTCAGAACTCTTCGGTGTGCACCAAAGCAAAAACCTTCGCTGCCTAAATTGGGCTGAGGGCTCTTGTGTGTCCCTGTCTCCTCTACCTCCACCTAGGGGGCCCAGGATGGGGAAACTGAGCCTCCGAGAGGCAAAGACAAAGTCTCTGGCCCAGGATCACACAGCAGCCGGTGGCATCTCAGCCCTCGCTGGCCGAGCTGGTGCCCAGAGCTGTGCATGGCTGACCAGTTGGTCCCGTACCCCCCCCCCCCTTTGTCTCCAGGGCCCGGGGAGAGCGGGAAGAGCACGTTCATCAAGCAGATGCGAATCATCCATGGGGCGGGCTACTCGGAGGAGGACCGCAAGGCCTTCCGGTCGCTTGTCTACCAGAACATCTTCATGTCCATGCAGGCCATGATTGATGCCATGGACCGGCTGCAGATCAGCTTCAGCAAGCCCGAGAGCAAGGTGAACCTGGGGAGCGAGGGAGGTGGAGGGCGGGCCTCCCCCCAGGACCAGACCCTGAGGTTCTCCTGTGATCAGGAAGTCTGAGGATGTCTGAGATTGGAATGTGACCCGATAGGGATCTGGGTTCCCATGTCTGCCCCTACTCCCCGCCCCCCCCCAGGGCAGATGTGGGAATTTTGCAAGAACTTGAAAAAGAGCCCCAGCTCCTTCAGGCAACTCCTGGGGAGTTGGGGATCAGGAAGACTGAGAACCCAGACCAGCTCAGGCAAGACAAAAATATGTTGGTGAGACTTCATCTTAACCAGTACACGGGGTATGGTGGTACACGCCTGCCATCCCAGCTATGTAGGACGCATCAACAGGGAGTCACAGTCAAGCCACTGCAGGCAACGAAAACAAGACCCTCACTCAAATAACCAGAGCAGTGGGGTGCTGGTAGCTCTCGCATATAATCCTTGCTGTGCAGGAGGCTGAGATCTGAGGAAGCCAGCCCAGGCTGAGATCTGAGGAAGCCAGCCCAGGCTGAGATCTGAGGAAGCCAGCCCAGGCAGAAGAGTCCAGGAGACTTATTTATAATTAACCACACGCACACACACACACACACACACACACACACACACACACACACACACACGGTAGAAACAGGAGTGTGGTTCAACTGGTAGAGCACTAACCATGAGCAAAATACTCAGGGAAAATGCCCAGGACCTCAGTTCAAGTTTCAGGTCAGGCAAAAAAAAAAACCAAAAAACAAAACCCTGCAAACAGCCGGGCACCGGTGGCTCCTGCCTGTCATCCTAGCTACTCAGGAGGCTGAGATCTGAGGATCGCGGTTCAAAGCCAGCCCCGGGCAGACACATCTGAGCCACACCTGTCTCCAATGAACCAACAAAAGGCCAGAAAGCCGAGGTGTGGCTCAAACGGTAGAGGTCCAGCCTGGAGAAAACAAGGAGGCGAGGCTCTGAGTTCGAGTCCCCATCCATAAAAAAGGCAGTTTCTGAAGCACAGGCATGCTGGCAGGTGATACTCTTCTGTAAGTCTCATAATCGCCCTCCAACGAGAGAAACAGAGACTGACATGAACACTGTCTCGCTGGGGATACACAAGCCACAGCCAAAGGGCAAAACTAAATCCTCGCTTTCCAAACCACCACCCTACCCGACCGCTAAAAAAAGTAACTTCCACCGGATGCCCCCGTACCCCCCACCCCCTCTAGCTGCTCCTGGGGGCCGCTCAGGCCTGACGCCCCACGGCCTCACCAGACTCAGCCTGAGCTCATGGCAGTGAATGAGGCCAGCGTCTTGGGGGCATAGCTGGGGGTCCCCCTCTTCCACGCATCCACTTGCCTCTGTCTGGGGCTTGAACTCTGGGCCTGGGCGCTGTCCCTGAGCTCTTCAGCTCAAGGCGGGCGCTCTACCGCTTGAGCCACAGCGCCACTTCAGTTTTTGAGTGTTTCTTTGACGAGTCTCAGGGACTTTCCTGCCCAGCCTGGCTTTGAACCTCGATCCTCAGATCTCAGTCTCCTGAGTAGCCTCCTGTGCCTCCCACCTTCCACCCCACCCCCACCTCACTCCACCTCAAAGCAGTCAGGGAGGAGGCAGAGTCTGCTGGGGTGGGGTGCTTAGCACCCATTGGGGTGATCCTTAACCTGTCATTGTTCCACCCCAGCTGGCCAAAGCATTGCCCTCTGCTGCCTCTTTGTGCTGTGGTGTGACACAGACGTCTCCTGGCCCTGGACTGGGGCCAAGAGAAGCCCAGAGGAACATTGCTGTTGGGGTGTTGAAGGGTGAATAGGAGTTCACTAGTTCCAGCTGTCAAGGCACAGCCTTTCCTTCTGTGCATCAGCGATTGCTTGGATATTGGACCAGGAAGGGATGTGCCGGTGGTCCGTGCGTCCCGAGAGAGAAAGCCAGGCAGAGGGGGAGGGTTTTAGGGACAGGCAGACAGGGCTGCAGGGGGGTCTCGGCGCTCCCGCAGGCTGCCTAACCCTCATCCGCCCTCCTCCCTCCGCAGCACCACGCCAGCCTGGTCATGAGCCAGGACCCTTACAAGGTGACCACGTTCGAGAAGCGCTTTGCCCTGGCCATGCAGAGCCTGTGGCTGGACGCGGGCATCCGGGCCTGCTATGAGCGCAGGCGGGAATTCCACCTGCTGGACTCCGCGGTGTAGTGAGTCTGCGCGCGCAGGGCCTGGGGTGTGGGCGGGGCCATGTGGAGGCTATGTGGGAGGGGACACGGCAAAGCCGTCTGTTGTAAGGGCGTGGCCCGTGTCTGGGGCGTGCCCATGGTATCAGATTACTGTGTGAGCAGAGCCAATAGGAGCCGGGTACAGCCGTGACGGCGGATATGTGGGTGGGGCCTTGCTTCGGCTAGGCTGCTGTGTGGGCGTGACCAGTGTCGAGTGGGCGTGGTCACAGTCTGGGGGCGGGGCGACAGCGATATGAGATTGCTGTGTGAGGGGAGCACATGTGGGTGGGGCCATGGCTCTGCTAGGTTGTTATGTAGGGCGTGGCCAGCGTTAAACGGGCGTGGTCACCGTCTTGGGGCGGAGTCAGACTGCTGTCTGGGTGTGGCCAGTACCAAATTGGGACTAGATCTGGGGGTGGGGCCGTAGTAAGACCAGTGTCGGTGGGCGGAGTCAGTGCCCGGTGGGCGGGCCTCACTGTGTGGGTGGGGCTACGATAGGGGCCTGCCCCTGTCGGGGCGTGGTCAGCATGTGGTTGGAGGCCAGGTTGGTTGGCCCTCCACTTGGGGTGGGGCGCAGTGCCAAGGTAGGCGTGGCCTGGGGATACAGAGGGGTGGGGTAGGACAGGAGCAGGGTGGAGGAGGGGCCGCGGTGGGCGTGGCCGGAGGGCGTGGCCGGAGGGCGTGGCCAGGGGCGACCCAGCTAGTGGTTCCACACCTGCTGCCCGGCTCTGCTCGGGGCAGCTCCTCCCGGACCTGACCGCGGCCTGCTTCTTCCGCAGTTACCTGTCGCACCTGGAGCGGATCACCGAGGAGGGCTACGTGCCCACCGCGCAGGACGTGCTGAGGAGCCGCATGCCCACCACCGGCATCAAGGAGTACTGCTTCTCCGTGCAGAAAACCAACCTGCGGTGAGTGCCCGACTGGGCCTGGCCTGCGGCAGGCTTATGTCAGAGGGACAAAGGGGCAGGGCTGTAAGGGATGCAGAGGAGTTTTCTGGAGGATGAATAGGAGTTCATTAGTCCCAACTCTCAAGGAGCTGCTGCAGAGGAGAAACAGGAACGTCTTTGGGATGCGGGAGCTCAAGTCGTCATCATCTGGGTGGGTCTGGAGTGAAGGTGGAATGTCAGAACATTCTAGAAGGGGCAAAAAAGGGCTGGTACTAGGCACGGATGATTAGAGTCAGTAGGATGGCATTTGAGGGGATGATGCAAAGATTATTTCTGACACAGAGAAGATAAGGTGAGCTAAGTGTGCAAATTAGTGCACAGCCAGAAGTAGAGCTGTGGCTCAAGTGATAGAGCACTAACCGTGAGTTTAAAAAAAGCTCAGGGACTGCATCCAGGCACTGAGTTCAAATTCCAGGACCCAGTAAAAATAAGTAAATAAAATCGCATAGCTGAGCATGGTGGCTCCTACCTGTAATGTCAGTTACTGGGAAGGCTAAGGCTGGGAAGACCAAGTTTATCAGCCTAGGCAAAAAGTTCACGAGATCCCTGTCTCAACCAATTAAAAGCTGGGAATAATAGCACTCCTCTATCCCATCCGTATAGGAAGTATAAACTGGAATAAATAGGAGGGTTAAGGTCTGTGTCAACCTGGGACAAAAAGGAAAACTATTGCTGGGTGTCAGTGACTCACGCCTGTAATCCTAGCTACTCAGGAGGCTGAGATCTGAGGATCACGGTGCAAAGCCAGCCCGGGCAGGAAAGTCCGAGAGACTCTTATCTCCAATAAACAATTCAGAAAACCAGAAGTGGTGCTGTGGCTCAAGTGGTAAAGCGCTCACCTTGAGCTGAAGAGCTGAAGAGCTGAGGGACAGCGCTCAGGCCCAGAGTTCAAGCCCCACGATGACCAGAGGAAAAAAAAAAAACGGACAAAAGCCAACCACTGGTGGCTCACACCTATAATCCTAGCCACTCAGGAAGATCATGGTTCAAAACCAGCCTAGGCAAGAAAGATTTCTTTTATCTCCAATTAACCAGAAGTGGTGCTGTGGTTCAAGTAGTAGAGCACTAGCCTTGAGCAAAACCTCAGAGACAGTGTCCAGGCCCTGAGTTCAAGACCTAGGACCGGCACACACACACACACACACACACACACACACACACACACACACACACACACACACACACAGGACTAAAGCAAGGCAAAGGTTGAGACGTGGCCCAGTGGTAAAGCACCTTTCTAGTAGTGTAGGGTTCTGAGTTCAAACCCTATTCTTGCCAAAGAAGAAGGAAAGGGGCGGGGGATTCAGAGAGGATTCTGGGAAGGGCAGTACAGAGTGGTCAGCAACCTGAGCAAGGTGGTGGGGAACCAAGGAAGGTCACAGGGCACCGTGGGGAGGTCATTTTGTGTTCAACCCCCCAGTGGCCCCTTCCATGGATCCTTCAGATCTTGGCAAAGCCCAGACCAGGAGGGTCTGCCATGTATCTCCCAGGCATGGCACCGTCCCCCCAGCTCTGACGGCTGGAGTGACATTGTAGCATTTTGTTTGGGATGGTAGGAAAGGATGGATGGGTGGATGCGTGCCCAGTGGGTGGGTGGAAAGATGGATGGATGGGTAGGTGGATGATGGATAAATGGATGATGGATAGATTGTTGGATGATGGATGGATGGGTAAGTAGGTGGAGGTAGGGATAGGTTGATGAGTGGGTAGATGGATGGATGGATGATAGATAGGTGGATGAATGATGGATGGGTGGATGGATGATGGATGGGTGGATAGATAGGTGGATGATGGGTAGATGGATGGATGATGGGTGGAGGGTTGGGTTGATCAGTGGTGGATGGGTGGATAGGTGGGTTGATGGGTGGATGGATGAAGGATGATGGATGGATAAGTGGGTAGATGGAGGAGTGGGTAGGTATGTGATGGATGGACGGATGGCTGTGTGGATGGAGGGATGGGTTGATGAGTGGGTGGGTGGGTAGGTGGAGGGGTGGGTAGGTGGGTGGGTGGATGTGGGGGTAGGTTGATGAGTGGGTGGATGGGGGAAGAATGGGTATCATGGATGATGGGAGAACTGTGCACTGTTTTCTTAGGGAGACTTGAGAATGTTCTCAGGAAGAGAAGGTAACAAATACAGGCTTAGGGGAAACTGAGGCTTCTGGGTGGAGGTGGCTTCCTGAACTCTTTTGTTTTTTTTGTCGGTTCTGGGCTTTGAACTCTGGCCCTGCGCTCTTCAGCTCAAGGCGAGCGCTCTACTGTTTGAGCCACAGCACCACTTCTGGGTTTTGTTTGGTGGTTTATTGGAGATAAGAGTCTCACGGACTTTCCTGCCAGGGTTGGCTTTGAACCATGATCCTCAGATCTCAGCCTCCTGAGTAGCTAGGATGACAGGCATGAGCCACCAGCCACCGGCTGAGCTCTTCATCAGTTGGGTCTGTGTCTGTCTGTTCTGAGAACCCCGCCACAGGCTCCTGCCCGCCTCCTGCCCTGCCCGCCTCCGGCCCTGCCCACCCCCCGCCCTGCCCTGCACGTGAGTTCCCAGCCTTTGGTGTGCGGTGCACAGATGTGAAACTCACAGATCCAAACACACAAGCACTGGCTTCAGTCCAGCCGCTGGTTCTGGGCCTCAGTTTCCCCTCTTGTGCTGCAGGGCAAGTCCCTTCCCAGGGGAGGCTGTGACCCGGGCCCATGGGGCGGCTGCTCCCTGTCACATCCTGGGTAAAGGTCGGGTCCCCGGGAAAAGGCCGAGCGCTCTATGGGTGACCTACTTTCTGAGAAGCCGGCACAGGAAGGGGCCTCTCGCAGGCCTTGGTTGTGGTGAGGGTGGAGGCCTGGGCCTCAGCTGGGCCACAGAGGACGTGACTCGTGTAGGTTCTGGGAACAACCCTGTGTCCCACCTGCGTGGATACTAGACTTTCCCACAGCAGCCCGGGCCCATAGTTTTGTCCATTGTGGGGCTTGAAACTCAGGGCCTGGATCCTGTCTCTCAGCTTCCTTTTTTATTTTTGCTCAAGGTTAGACGTTCTACCACTTGAGCCACAGCTCTACTTTACATCTTCTGGTGTTAATCGGAGATGATAATCTCAGGGCCTTTCCTGCCCGGGCTGGCCTGGAACCTCCATCCTCAGATCTCAGCCTCCTGAGTAGTAGGATGTCAGGCATGAGCCACCCACGCCCAGCTCTTAACTGCCCTTTTCAAATCTGCAAAAGCCACTTGAGAGACTCAGTTACCCGATCACCAGGAAGACACAGGCCCTGTGGGCAGCCCACCTTCTTGCAATGCTTCTGACTGATCTTGCCACTTCCTGGTGGTGCCTGAACTCTAAAAAGAAGGGGGGGGCCCTGGTTTTCCTATAGGATCGTGGATGTCGGGGGCCAGAAATCAGAGCGCAAAAAGTGGATCCACTGCTTTGAGAACGTGATTGCGCTCATCTACCTTGCCTCGCTCAGTGAATACGACCAGAGCTTGGAGGAGAACAACCAGGAGGTAAGAGGCACTCCCTGCTCTTCCCCATTGGGGGTGGGGAGATGTGGGAACCTCATCCCAGCAGAAAGCCAAAAGGGCCCCAGAGCGGGCAGCTTTGCTGTTTGGTGGCTCTGTGTGAACCCAGTGTGATTTATTCTCCCTTCCTTCCTTCCTTCCTTCCTTCCTTCCTTCCTTCCTTCCTTCCTTCCTTCCTTCCTTCCTTCCTTCCTTCCTTCCTTCCTTCCTTTCTTTTTGATTGTGGGGCCTGAACTCTGGGCCTGGGCACTATCCCTCAGCTCTTCAGCTCAAGGCGAGTGCTCTACCACTTGAGCTACAGCGCCACTTCCGGTTTTCTGGTGGTTTTTATTGGAGATAGGAGTCTCACGGTCTCTCCTGCAAGGGCTGGCTTTGAACTGCGATCCTTAGATCTCAGCCTCCTGAGTAGCTAGGATTACAGGCGTGAGCCACCAGCACCCTGCACTTCTGGCTTTTTCTGTGTATGTGGTGCTGAGGAAGCGAACCCAGGGCCTCATGCATGCAAGGGCAAGCACTCTACCACTGAGACACTTTCCTAGCCCCATATTCTTTTCATTTTGATGGTTTTTTTCAGTCAGTCAGGGGCTTGAACTCAGGACCTGGCCACTGTCACTGAGCTCTTTTGCTCAAGGCTAGCGCTCTGCCACTTTGAGCCACAGCTCCACGTCCAGTTTTCTGGTGGTTTATTGGAGATGAGTCTCTTGGACTTTCTTGCCTAGGCTGGCTTTGAATCGCAATCCTCAGATTTCGAGGATCTGAGTAGCTAGGATGACAGGCGTGGCACACTAGCGTCTGGTTTGCTAAATATGATATGATCAGATGCTCGTAGGCATTGCACCTTTTTGTTCCTCCCCTGAGTCTCCTCCTTTGGTCTTGCTGTATGTGAATGAATGTGTGTGTATAATTCATTATGTCCCCGTGTATTTTAGATCTAGCTTTGGCACATCTGAGAAAACACTCACTGTTTGTCATTCTTAGCTTGGCTTCCCTCATTTAACATGAGCTGTTCTAGGTCCATCCATTTCCCTGCAAATGACATTTTATTCTTTCTAATATTTGTGTAAAATTCTACTGTGTAGGTTCCACATTTTCTGGATGCACTCAGTTATTATAGGGTGATCTTTATTTCTGGCGCTGGTACTTGAACTCAGGGCCAGGGTATTGTCTTTTTGTGTGTGTGTGTGTGTGTGTGTGTGTGTGTGTGTGTGTGTGTGTTATTTTTTAATTCACTCAAGGCGAGTGCTCTACCACTTGAGTCACAGCACCACTTCCGGTTTTCTGGTGGTTTATTGGAGATAAGAGTCTCACGGACTTTCCTGCCTGGGCTGGTTTTGAACCGCAATCCTCAGATTTCAGCCTGAGTAGCTAGGATGACAGGCGTGAGCCCTCAGCACCTGGCCTCCACTTTGGCTTTTTGCTGGTTAACTGGAGATAAGAGTCTCATGGACTTTCCTGCCTAGACTGACTTTGAACCACGAACCTCAGATCTCAGCCTCCCGAGTAGCTGGGATGACAGGCGTGAGCCAATAGTGCCTGGTTGTGGCACTGATCTGAAGCCTCTACCCTTTCCAGTAGGGAAACCACACAGGTGTGCATGGCCAGGACCCCGGCCTCCCCCGCCAAGCACGTGTGTGGAGTGGACAGAGGCCCGAGCATGGCCACACACAGGCCCCAGCAAGCCAAGGCTGGGCAGCGCTGCTCTGTGCGCATGAACCTGTCTCTCTATGGCTGCCCAGCACGGAGGTCAGGCCCTTATCCTCATCGGGGGGAATCTATCTGAGAATTGACTTTCAGATTGAATCAGACACATCATGGTGATGGGTTTGTCATTCCTCCCAGCCCCACAGCACTCACTCCGGTCTTGGGCACTGAGATAAACCAGTAGAGATTAGGTTCCTTCAAAACAGACAGCTGGTGGCCTTCACCTGTCATCCTAGCTGGGCGGGAAAGTCCGAGAGACTCTTATTGCCCATACACTACTCAGAAAAAGCCGGAAGTGGTGCTGTGGTTCACGTGGAAGAGGGTTAGCCTTGAGCTCAGAGGCTCAGGGAGTGTGCGCTGGCCGAGTCCACACCTCAGGACCGGTTCAAATCCAACAAAAAACAAACAAACAAAAAAATTCCCCCCAAACAAAAATCAGATCTTGAACTTGGGCTCCTCAGGAAGGAGACTTGTGAATTTAAAGCTAGCCTGACCTACACAGTGAGACTTTTTTTTTTTTTTGGTCAGTCCTAGGCTTGAACCCATGGCCTGGGCACTGCCCCTCAGCTTTTGTGCTCAAGACTGGCACTCTTACATTTGAGCCATAGCTCCGTGACAAGCTTTTGATGCTTCATATGAAATAAGACTCCCATGGTCTTTCCTGCCGTTTCCTCTTTGAACCTCAATCCTTAGATTTCAGCTTTCTGAGTAGCTAGGATTATAGGTGTGAGCCACTGGCATCTGGTGAGACTTTCATCTTAAAAATAAAAAAGGGCTCATGGTGTGGCTCAGTTGGTAGAGCACTAGCCAGTGAGCAAAAATGGCAGGTACCAAGGTTGAATCCCTGTCTTATACCTAACCCCCCCCCCGCCCCATTCTCGCTCTGTCTCTCTCTATACAACTGCCTGGCACCAGTGGGTAACAGCGGTCATCCTAGCTGCTCAGGAGGCTGAGATAAGAGGATCTCGGTTTGAAGCCAGCCAGGGCAGGAAAGTCTGGGAGACTCTTTTTTTTTGGTCGTGGGACCTGAACTCTGGGCCTGGGTGCTGTCCCTCAGCTCTTCAGCTCAAGGCTAGCGTTCTACCACTTGAGCCACATAGCCACTTCCGGCTTTTTCTGCTTATGTGGTGCTGAGGAATCAAACCCAGGGCCTCAGGCATGCAAGGCAAGCGCTCTACCACTGAGCCACCTGCCCCGCCCCTCTGGGAGACTCTTATCTCCAATGAACCACCAGTAGGGCAGAAGTGGCGCTGTGACTCGAGTGTGAGAGTACCAGCCTTGAGCAAGAGCTCAGGGACAACGTCCAGACCCTGAGTTCAAGCTTCAGGACTGGTGCATGCACACAGGTGTGCACAGCCTCCCGCCCCCCCCCTCCCGCTGCGCCCCCCCTCCCATCCCACACACAGTTTCCAAATTAGATCACGCCTTAAAATCCCAAATGGACCTAAGTTTTGGGGAAATACAAAAAACATGTTGGGCATACACAGCTTAGGCCCCACCTAGCGAGGCAAAAGGGGAAGCAATCTGGGGTGCACAACCCTGTCTCCTTGTGGGCAGGGGTGGCCTGCTGGGCTGGGCTGGGCAGTGGAGTGATGGCTGCATCTTCTGCCCACACAGAACCGCATGAAGGAGAGCCTGGCACTGTTCCGCACCATCCTTGAGCTCCCTTGGTTCCGGAGCACCTCCATCATTCTCTTCCTCAACAAAACTGACATCCTGGAGGAGAAAATCCCCACCTCCCACCTGGCCACCTACTTCCCCAGCTTCCAGGGTGAGTGATTCTAGAATATTCTAGAACCTTCCCCCTCCTAAAACCAGCTCCCCAGAGATCAGCTTAACCCAGGCTTTGCCTCGATGTCACTACAAGTCCCAACTAGAATGAGTCTGGAGGTTCCAGGGTTTGCCTGCTCTGATGCCCAGCCTCGCCGAACCTCAGTTTCCCCCTGCCTATAACAGAGATGAAACAAGAAGAGACCGCCAGGGGACTGTGGCTCACACCGTCATCCTAGCTGCTCAAGAGGCTGAGATGGGAGGACCATGGTTTGAAGCCAGCCCAGGCAGGAAAGTCTGTAAAACTCTCATCTCTAATAAACTGCTCGGAAAAGACTGGAAGAGGCGCTGTGGCCCAAGTGGTAGAGTGCTCGCCTTGAACACAAGCTCAGGGACAGTGCCCAAGTCCCAGGACCAACACACACACACACACACACACACAAATGTACCCCTGGCACAAGTAGGTTTAGGGCCCACTAGGGACGGACACAGGTCAGTGTGTCAGTGTTGAGCACTCTAGGGAGGAGGGAGCTCAGTAAAGAAGGTGCACACTTCTGGCACTTTCTCCATTTCTCCACTCTCCAGAACAAAATGAGGTTGTCCCTGTATCCTGTTTGCCTATTGTTAAAGAGCAAATTAAACTTAGGATGCTGACCCTTAGTGGCTTAAGACTAGCCAGGTTTGATTTTGGTGCATGATTTTGTGCATCAGGAATTTGGGAAAAGGCATGGTAGGGCAATTTGTCCCACCCATGTGGCATAAGCTGAGGTGGTTGGGGCTGGAGAGAGCCTTCCAAGATGGTGCCTTCCTTCATAGATCTGGTGCCCTGAGTGCCTCCTGTGCTCTCCACTCTCTCCCCTTAAATCCTCATGCACCTTGGGCTTCCTCACAATATGGCTGACCCAGCAGAAGGCTGCCTATCAAGACCTTGCCAGTCGGAAATGTCAAAATGTTCCTTACATTCCATTCTAGTGGCCCAACAAGTTGCTGAAGCCAATAGTCAATAGACAATCACTGCCTCTTTTTGTTGCTGTTGATCAAGGGGCTTGAACTCAGAGCCTGGGTGCTGTACCTGTGCTTTTTCACTCAAGGCTGGTGCTCTACCAGTTTGAGCCACAACACCACATCTGGTGTTTTGGTGGTTCACTGGAGATAACAGTGTCACAGACTTTCCTGCCCTAGCTGGCTCAAACCACGATCTTTAGATCTCAGCCTCCTGAGTAGCTAGGATGACAGGTGTGAACCACTGGCACTCAGCTTCACTGCCTCTTAAAGAAGGAATAGAATCAGCACATGGGAAGAAGGGAGCCATCTTGGAGACAAGTTCTCTTCCTTCTCAGAGATACTGAAACGAAAGACAGTTGACTGGGCCCTGGAGGGCTTAAGACAACAAAAAACGGATTCCCTTATAGTTCAGAAGATGTGAGTTTTGAAATCAAGGTATTGGCAGGGTCATTTTCTCTTGGAGGCTCTGAGGGTCAAACATTCTGTCTCTTTAGAACAACTGTGATGGTATTCCTTGGCTTGTAGACATGTTTCATCCTGCCCATTGTAACTGGGATGACAAACATGAACTATCACGCCCAGCTTCTTTGAGATGGGGTGTCTCAAACTTCCTTGCCTGGGCTGGACTGAAACGGCACTTCCTGGTAGCTAGAATTACAGGCATGAGCCATGAGCACTTGCTTGTGTACTCTCATCTTGTATGGATACCAGTGTTTCATGGTTCCCATTAAGCCAGTGTGACTTCATTTTAACTCACCTAACTGCATCTGCAAATACTCTACTCTCAAATGAGCTCAGAGTCTGAGGTTCTCAGGGGATTGGGATTTTGGAGGAATTTAAATTTATTTATTAGTTGTTTATTTTTGTTGGTGGTTGGGCTTGAACTCAGGGCCGGAGTGCTGTCCCTGAGTTCTTTTGCTCAAGGTGAGCACTCCACCATTTTGAGACACAGCACCACTCCCAGTTTCCTGTTGCTTCACTGGAGATAAGAGGCTCAGGGAACTTCCTGCCTGGGCTGACTCTGAACCTCGATCCTCAGATCTCAGCCTCCTGAGTAGCTAGGATTACAGGTGTGAGCCACTGGAACCTGGCTAGAAATTTTTATTTTTAAGCCACGGCACAGTGGAAACCCAATAGGTAAAAGCCAGATCCTGGTGTCTCACATTTGTAATCTTAACTAATTGGAAGGCTGAGATCTGAGGATCACAGTTCAAAGCTATTCCAGGCAGATCAATCTGAGACTCTCATCTCTAATTACACAGCAAATAGTCAGAAGTGGGGCTCAAGTGATAACAGTGCTGGTCATGGGTAAAAATGCTGAGCAAAAGCGCAAAGCCCTGCGTTTAAGCCCAGATACTGGGAAAAACTAAATAAAATTAAAAATCCTCCTAGGTGGAGCCTAAAGCTTGTTGGTCGTCAGGTCAAAGGTCAGACAACCTGAGCTTTGCTAAAGCCTGTGGGACCCCTAGGTGGGTCCCATCCCGGAGGGCTTTGAAGCTGATCTACCTATGTGCCTAAGGCGGGAAAACGGGGAGGCCGAGGTCACCTGGGACCCTCCTCTCGCGGGTCCTGGCCCCGCAGGCACAGGAACCAGACTCTGGCTTCAGAGAATTCTAGAAACAGAGTAAGACGGACAACTCTAGAAGCCTTTTCCTTCTCCCTTCCCCCTCCAGCAGACTGGGGGCCCCTGACGCTCCCCATTCCCTGCTCTCCCTCCTCCCGTCCCGCGGTCTCATTTTCAGTCTTAGGAAGTCTGACTCCAGGCCCTCGGCCTCCATTCCCCAGGCACCAAGCGGGGAAGCCCCAGAGCTCAGTCTCATTGGTCCCTTTCAGGTCACGTGGCCTCGGGAGGGGCACGCCTCAGGGCTCCCATTGGCTGAGCCCGAGTCAGGGGACCGGAAGTGATGGCCAAGGCGGTCCCTGCTTAGCAAAGAGGGCGGGACGGGTCCTGCCCTGCCCGGCTGCGAGGGGAGCGCGACCCCGGGCCCGTCTCCCCTTCTTGCTCTTCCTTTTCTCCCCCAGGCCCCAAGCAGGACGCGGAGGCGGCCAAGCGGTTCATCCTGGACCTGTACACGCGGATGTACACGGGCTGCGCCGACGGCCCCGAGGGCGCCGAGAAGGGGTCGCGCGCCCGCCGGCTCTTCAGCCACTACACCTGCGCCACGGACACGCAGAACATCCGCAAGGTCTTCAAGGACGTGCGGGACTCGGTGCTGGCGCGCTACCTGGACGAGATCAACCTGCTGTGACCCGGGCCGGACCCGGAGGCCGAGGCCCGGCCGCCGCGGCCAGGCGTGGGGCGCGTGGGGCAGCGGCCCGGGGCGGGGCGCCAGGCGTGGGGCGCGCGGGGGCGCGTGGGGCAGCCGCCCGGGGCGGGGCGCCAGGCGTGGGGCGCGCGGGGCGCGTGGGACAGCGGCCCGGGGCGGGGCGCCAGGCGTGGGGCGCGTGGGACAGCGGCCCGGGGCGGGGCGCCAGGCGTGGGGCGCGTGGGGCAGCGGCCCGGGGCGGGGCGCCAGGCGTGGGGCGCGTGGGGCAGCGGCCCGGGGCGGGGCGCCAGGCGTGGGGCGCGTGGGGCAGCGGCCCGGGGCGGGGCGCCAGGCGTGGGGCGCGTGGGGCAGCGGCCCGGGGCGGGGCGCCAGGCGTGGGGCGCATGGGGCAGCGGGCCCGGGGCGGGGCGCCGGGCGTGGGGCGCGGGGCGCGTGGGGCAGCGGGCCTGGGGCGGGGCGCCAGGCGTGGGGCGCGTGGGGCAGCGGGCCCGGGGCGGGGCGCCAGGCGTGGGGCGCGCGGGGCGCGTGGGGCAGCGGGCCTGGGGCGGGGCGCCAGGCGTGGGGCGCGTGGGGCGCGTGGGGCAGCGCCCGGGGACGGGGGCGCCAGGCGTGGGGCGCGTGGGGCAGCGCCCGGGGACGGGGCGCCAGGCGCGGGGCGCGTGGGGCAGCGGGCCCGGGGACGGGGCGCCAGGCGTGGGGCGCCAGGCGCGGGGCGCGTGGGGCAGCGGGCCCGGGGACGGGGCGCCAGGCGTGGGGCGCCAGGCGCGGGGCGCGTGGGGCAGCGGGCCCGGGGACGGGGCGCCAGGCGTGGGGCGCCAGGCGCGGGGCGCGTGGGGCAGCGGGCCTGGGATGGGGCGCCAGGCGTGGGGCGCCAGGCGCGGGGCGCGTGGGGCAGGCAGCGGGCCCCGGGCAGGACCGACCCCGTGGTCCCTGCTCGGCTCTGCCTTTCGCCACCCCAGACGTCTGAGGGCTCCGCCGTGTCCTCTGTGGAGGGAAAGGCGCCAAATGGCATCAAATGGCCAATGGCTGAGGTGGAGGAAGACGTAGGAGAACAGTTCAAGAACTGCGTGGTCTCCCTGGAGCCCCCCCTCCAGTGACGTCACCGGGAGGAAGTCCTGGATGCGCTGTGGTGACGTCATCAGGACACTTCCAGAGGATGGACTCCATATGTCGCCTCCCCCCCTGGTGGACAATGTCGGAAACTGCTGCCGGAAGGGCTTTTTCTTGCCCCTGGGGAGCCTCCAAGCCCTCAGTCTCCTACTCTGGCTTGCAGAGGAGGGGAACTGAGGCTCACAGGCTGGGATCAAGGCACACTCTACCCCATCCACCTTCTGTATTTATTCCCTCTCTTCTTCAGGACCCCAGTTGGGGGTACACATTAAAGACAGTCCTCTGGAGAGGAGTGGTTTCTCGGGGGTGTCTTGCCACTAGCATCTGTTCCTCATCCCCACCCTGATCTCTCCTGAGGGGCAGCGTGGTGGAAAGGTGACATTATAGGAAAGAAAAAAAAAAGTTCTACTTGTTGTCTGCCCACTTGTGAGACTCTGCTCATTTTGTGCCAGAATGTGGAGTAACCCCTTTCCCCAACTAGAGGGTCTCGGGAGCAGACTCCTCTGCTCCTGTGTACTCTCAAGTCCAACAGTCACAATACCTGGTTCCTCCTCCTCTCCTTCCTCTTTCTTCTCTCCTTTTTATTTTCATTCCAGCTCCTTCCTTCCTTTTTTCCTTCCTTCCCCTCCCCCCACCCCCCTTGCCCATCCTAGGGCTTGAACTTAGGGCCTAGTATTGTCCCTGAGCTTTTTCACTCAAGACTAGCCCTCTACCACTTTGAGCCACAGCTCCACTTCTAGTTTTTCTGGTGGTTCACTGGAGATAAGAGTCTCACAGACTTTTCTGCCAGGACTGGCTTTGAACCATGATCCTCAGATCTCAGCCTCCTGAGTAGCTAGGATTACAGTGTGAACCGTTGATTTAGTTTTGGAGATCGGAAATCTGGATCACCCACAGGGCAACCTTGTTCAGATTTTCCTCTTTTGGGGAGTGAGGAGTATTGGGGTTTTTCTCTAGAGCCTCAGTCCTGTTAAGCACATGCTCCCCCACGGAGCCACACCCCAGAACTTTTCCCTTCCCTACAAAATAGTCACACTGATCAGTAAGTCTACCCTACTGATCCATCAAAAATTTGATTCTATGTACAAACACTTTGTTTCTAAATATGCTCACTCTGGTAGATCTCAGGATTAAGGGTTCAATGGATCGTTGGGCAGCTCAGGTTCAATTCACACCTGGCACTTTCTAGAAAATTCCCTAACTAGGGTTTGTCTGGTGTCTGCAATGATTTGACTAAAAGGAGGGATGGGTTTGACCAGGGAAGACCAGAGAAGTCTTAACCCCCAAGTCCTGAAATCAACATAACTAAGGAAACATCGTCTTCACCATTTTTTTGTTGGTGCTGGGGTTTGAACTCAGGACTGAGCAGATGCTGAGTGTATGGTCTCCTGTGTGAGCCAGGCCCCTACAGCCTGAGACATACCTGCCCCACTTGATCCTTGCCCCTAGGACATGGAACTGTCAGGGCTTGGGCCCTGCCCCTGAGCTCTTTTGCTCAAGGCTGTGCTTCACCACAGCTCCCCTTCTGGACTTTTGGTGGCCAATTGGTAATAGGAGTCTCAGGGACTTTCCTCCCTGGGCTGGCTTTGATTCATGATCCTCACATCTCAGCCTCCTGCGTAGTGCAGTGAGCCACCAGAAACTGGCTGTCATGTACTTTTTTAACCTATCAACAAAAAAGTAGTGTTTTTTGTTTGTCTCTTGGTCCTGGAGCTTGAACTCAGGGCCTAGGCACTGTCCCTGGGCTTCTTTTGCTTAAGGCTAGTGCTTTACTACTTAAGCCACAGTGCCACTCTGGCTTTTTTGGGGGAAGGGGTAGTTTATTCTTCATGGCTGGGCACCAGTGGCTCACACCTATAATTGTAACTACTCAGGAGGCTGAGATCTGAGGATCATGGCTCAAAGCCAGAGCCCAAGCGTCCTCGAGACGCCTATCTCCAATTAACCACCAAAAAAAGCTGGAAGTAGAGCCAGAGGCTCAAGTTCTAGAGTACTATCTTTGAGCACAAATGCTCAGAGACAGTGCCTAGGCCCTGAATTCAACCCTAGAGCTGGCACCACAAAAAATAAAATGGAAAAGGCTGACTGGGAAGGTGGCTTAGTAGTAGGGTGCTTGCCTAGCTTGCATGAAGCCCTGGGTTCGCTTCCTCAGTACCACATACACAGAAAAAGCTGGAAGTGGCACTGTGGCTCAAGTGGTAGAGCACTAGCCTTAAGCAAAAGAAGCCCAGTGCCCAGGACTGGCAAAAACAAAACAAAGTCCCTGGAGGGAAAAGCCTTCACTACACTTGATAAGGCAACTCTAGGAATCAACTTGCACCCCAGGTGGTATCTGTTAGGTCTGCTTATATAGTCAGAAAGGGAGGGAAGGGGGCATGACTAACCTGTCTGCACCAATCATAGTCCTTCATGCAAATGAGGGTGGGCTGCCACTAATCACAATCACAGCACAGTCTTTATCCAAATGAAAGACTCTGGGCTGGGAAGGTGGCTCAGTGGTAGAGTGCTTGCCTAGCATGCATGAAGCCCTGGGTTCGATTCCTCAGTACCACATACACAGAAAAAAAGCCATAAGTGGCGCTGTGGCTCAAGTGGTTGAGCAGTAGCCTTGAGGAAAAAAGCTCAGGGACAGTGCCCAGGCCCTGAATTCAAGCCCCAGGACTGGAAGAAAAATTAAAAAAAGGACTTTGCACCAACCACCTGTCTCCCAGTGGGCCCTGGCTCTCTCTCTCTCTCTCTCTCTCTCTCTCTCTCTCTCTCTCTCTCTCTCTCTCTCTCTCTCTCTCTCTCTCTCTCTCTCTCTCTGTGTCTCTGTCTCTCTCTGTGTCTCTGTCTCTGTCCCTGGCTCTGTGTCTCTCTGACCTGGATGGAAGAGGTTTCAGGGACTTCTAGGTTCCACTGGGATGATGAAAAGCCCAAAGCGAGCTGTTTGGATTCTAAATAGCACCCCTAAAAGGGGCCTGGGGGTCTTGAAGGGCAGTGGTGATTCCAGGGGAAGGGTGGGAAACGTCCAAGGTAAGCCTGGGATGCTGCAGGGTACCAGAAAGTTCAGGAAGTGTGTGGGGAAGGATGGAGACACCGCCCGCCCGCCCCCAGCGGTGGCAGCAGGTGCTGCCCTCTGGTGTCCGCAGCCGGAGTCGCAGTCTGATGTTTCAAGTGGTGTGTACGGCCTGACCGCTGCCTTTGCTGGCAGTCTTTATGGCTCCAGGCAGACAAGCAAGCCGAGCCAGAGAAGGGAAGGGCTAATAACTGTCAGTGAAGGGAGCTAAGCTGGGCCTGGTAGCCATGTCAGTAATCCTGGCACTTGGGAGATGGAGGTAAATTGGGGCGGGGGGGGGGGGGGTGAGTTCCAGGCTAGCTTGGGATACCTAACAACTTCACAGACAGCTTATGCCTTAGGGGGAAATTCTATCTCAAATAAAAGTGTAAGCCAGGAATCCATTTGCATCGATCGATCGATTGACAAATGGTGTGTCCTCGCACCCAAAGTCCCTCCCCCAGGGCAGCAGGGAATTCACATAAGGTCACTGTCAGCAGCACACCCGGCTGCGTCAGATGCTCCCTTCCACGGCTCATCGCCCTTGTCCTGAAGCTATTGCCTCTGGGAGACACCCAGCTGCATCGTGGGGATAGGAATCAGCCCAGGAACAGGGGTTCACATCGGGTTGTACATCCAGCCAGACTCGGGTCAATCAGGGATCCAGGCCCCATCTAGGGGAAGGCTGTCTGGGATCTGGGCTTTCTCTGTGCTGCTTCCTGACTCAGTGATCTTTGTGGGCTGGAGTTGAAACTCCGTGTGTTATGCCCAGCCACACCCCCCGCCCCTTCTCTCCCCCCTCTTTCTGTTTGGTCGAGTCACAGAGCTGCCCACAGCTGCACAGTAAACAAGGGGGGAGGGATGGCAGTGCCAGGAACTTGGGGTGCTCTTGGTCTTCCCCTGGCCTCTTCTAGCCCTCTCTTATCCTGTCCTCTCTAGGGATGCATCTACTTCTTGGGGGGGGGGGGTACCTGACCCTATCAATAGCATACGTGTGCCCTGGGGCCAGGGTCACCTCCCCCTCAGACCCATAGCAATCTTCAGTTGAGTCACCTTAAGCCTGTGTACACAGAATGGGGGGGTGCACCCACAGTTCTTGTGTCTCCCACGTCCTGGAGCAGAGGTGGTAGCTACTTCTGCTCCCTGCAGGGCGGAGGGCACAGGGGCTGGAGACCATGAGCGAGCTCCCAGCATTCACATTGCTTCACAGAGCCTCAGTTTCCCCAAGCAGAACAAGTTGGTTATGGAAAGGGGAGGAGGATGTGTGTGTATGTGTGTGTGTGTGTGTGTGTGCTGACATGTGTGTCGGGTGTGCCTGGAGCGCACAGCCATCTTGGGGGGACAAGGGCAGTAGAGGGTGACAGGTGGCTTTCATTTCCCATCTGTGACCCGCAGCTCCACCCCCTCCCCCCTTGCTTTCCAGGATGGACAGTGGCTGGCTGGGGTAGAACTGGGGAGGGGTGTGTGTGTAGGAGGGTGCTCCCCAGAGCGGTCAACCGTCGCTGGGGTGGCCCCTCCCAGTCCCAGCTTCCCCCCCCCCCCCCCCACCCCGGGGCACCTTGAATAACAGGAAATTTCAAACAACAGGAAACCCAGCTTAGGCTGTGGCTCCACCCTGCCCCAAGGCCTCAGTCTGCCCCCAGGGGAGGCCATGAACGCCACGGGGTCACCGTCCCCAGTGGCCCTGGAGTCCTGCTACTGGCTGGCGGCCGGGGGACACAGCCGGCTGATCATCTTGCACTACAACCACTCTGGCCGGCTGGCTGGACGCGTCAATGGTGGGGAACCGGAGGACAGCAGCCTGGGGGCCCTGAGGGGCTTGTCGGTGGCGGCGGGCTGCCTGGTGGTGCTGGAGAATGCGCTGGTCCTGGCGGCCATCGGCACCCACATGCGCTCCCGGCGCTGGGTGTATTACTGTCTGGTCAACATCACCCTCAGCGACCTGCTGACCGGCCTGGCCTACCTGGCCAACGTGCTGCTGTCCGGGCCTCGCACCTTCCAGCTGGCCCCCGCCCAGTGGTTCCTGCGTGAGGGCCTGCTGTTCATGGCCCTGGCCGCGTCCACCTTCAGCCTGCTCTTCACAGCCGGCGAGCGCTTCGCCACCATGGTGCGGGTGGCCGAGAGCGTGGCCACCAAAACCAGCCGGGTCTACGGCTTCATCGGGCTGTGCTGGCTGCTGGCCGGGCTGCTGGGGCTGCTGCCGCTGCTGGGCTGGAACTGTGTGTGCGCCTTCCAGCGCTGTTCCACCCTCCTGCCCCTCTACTCCAAGGACTACATCCTCTTCTGCGTGCTGCTCTTCGCCCTCATCCTGGTGGCCATCCTAGGCCTCTACGGGGCCATCTTCCGGGTGGTCCGGGCCAACGGGCAGAAGGCCCCGCGCCCTCCGGCCCGGCGCAAGGCCCGGCGGCTCCTGAAGACGGTCCTCATGATCCTGGTGGCCTTCGTCGTGTGCTGGGGACCCCTCTTCGGCCTGCTGTTGGCTGACATCTTCGGCTCCAACGTCTGGGCGCAGGAGTACCTGCGGGGCATGGACTGGATCCTGGCCCTGGCTGTCCTCAACTCGGCCATCAACCCGCTCATCTACTCGTTCCGCAGCCGGGAGGTGTGCCGCGCCGTGCTGGCCTTCCTGTGCTGCGGGTGCCTCCGCCTGGGCCTGCGGGGGTCCCGGGGACTGCCTGGCCCGGGCCTCCGAGGCGCACTCCGGAGCGTCCACCACCGACAGCTCGCTGCGGCACCGAGACAGCTTCCGGGGCTCGCGATCGCACAGCTTCAGGATGCGGGAGCCCCTGTCCAGCGTCTCCAGCGTGCGGAGCGTCTGAGGACGCGCGGGGCCGGCCTGGGGCGCGGCGGACAGGCGTGGGAGCCCCGGAGGGGGGGGTGCGGGGAGAGGGGCGCACAGCCCCGGGGGTCCCCTCCCCGGGGGTGCGGGGAGAGGCGTGGGAGCCCGGGGGTGTGTGTGTGCGGGGAGAGGGGCGCGCGCACAGCCCCGCGGGGTCCCCTCCCTGGGGGTGCGGGGAGAGGCGTGGGAGCCCGGGGGGGTGTGTGTGCGGGGAGAGGGGCGCACAGCCCCGGGGGTCCCCTCCCCGGGGGTGCGGGGAGAGGGGCGCACAGCCCCGGGGGTCCCCTCCCCGGGGGTGTGGGGAGAGGGGCGCACAGCCCCGGGGGTCCCCTCCCCGGGGGTGCGGGGAGAGGGGTGCACAGCCCCGGGGGTCCCCTCCCCGGGGGTGCGGGGAGAGGGGCGCACAGCCCCGGGGGTCCCCTCCCCGGGGGTGCGGGGAGAGGGGCGCACAGCCCCGGGGGTCCCCTCCCCGGGGGTGCGGGGAGAGGGGCGCACAGCCCCGGGGGTCCCCTCCCTGGGGGTGCGGGGAGAGGCGTGGGAGCCGGGGGGGGGGGTGTGTGCGGGGAGAGGGGCGCACAGCCCCGGGGGTCCCCTCCCCGGGGGTGCGGGGAGAGGGGTGCACAGCCCCGGGGGTCCCCTCCCCGGGGGTGCGGGGAGAGGGGCGCACAGCCCCGGGGGTCCCCTCCCCGGGGGTGCGGGGACGGGGGCGTTGGCGTGACCCCGCTGTGTGTGACCCCGGGGCGGCCGGGCCGCTCTCTGGGCCGGGTTGGGGGCACCGGGCTGCGGAGCCTGGTTCCCGCCTCTCCCAGCCCCGCAGCCGGCCCCCACCCCGCACCCCGGGGCCAGTTCCCGTTTGAAGTCGCCGCCGCCGGCGGTCTGATTGGCGGCGCGAGTGTGCGTGCGTGCGCGCGTGAGCCGACAGTGAACGGCCGGTTGCGTGCGCGTGCGCGGTAGGGGGAGCGCGCAGCCGTGGAGGGGTGACCAAGCCTTGCGCGTGCGCGGTGGGGGCGCGGGCGCCAGCGGGCGCGCGCGCTCGAGCAGAGCCCTGTCCCTGCGCTCCCCGCCCCCTCCGCACGCATGCGCGCGCGCGTCCGTGTGAGCCCCGCTCGCTGCCAGGCAGGAGCCGGGGACCGACCCTGGTCACCTCGCTCTTCTCGCTCACCTCCTCCTTGGTGAAGCCCGGACCGACCCTCGGAGGACGGGGGGCTTCCCCTCGCTCCCCTCCTCGCAGATCCGGGCTTTGAATGGTTGGGGGGATTCAAATCTAGGGGTGGTGGAGCCGCCCCCCAACTGTGGGAACAGGGTTTGCCCCCAGCAATGGTATTTAACTTGCATTCGTTTACATGAAGTGGCACCCCGGATTGGTGGCCAGGGGTGACCCCCTCCCCATCATCCCCACCCCAGCCCCCAGGGTCTCCCTGTGGGGGGGGAGATGCTGGGAGGGGGTGAGGCTGGGACTCGGGGTGCGGATTGCAGCTCAGGTCCCAGCGCGGGGCCCGTCCAGGGACGGCTGAGCCCACGGCCCCCCACTTCTCACCAGCCACTTGTCGTTCTGTAAAATCATTAAACTGAGCGAAATGTGAAGAATGCAGCTTCTCAGTGTCTTGCTCTCCTAGGAACACCTTTCGTCTGGCTCACTTCTGCGCCCCGGGAGATCGTCGTCAGGTCAAGGTGGGCAGGGCTGGGACACCCTCCCCCAGGACACACATTGTCTGGTAGTCTGGGGTGACCCCATTCTTCCGGCTCTGGGCCTGTGCAAGCTCCTCCATCTATGCGTCTCTCTCTCTTTGTACCTTTTTTAACATTTTGGTCAGTCATGGGGCTTGAACTCAAGGCCTGGGTGCTGTCCCTGAGCTTTTTCACTCAAGGTGAGCTCTCTACCACTTGGAGTCACAGCGCCACTTCCGGTTTTTCTGGTGGTTCATTGGTGGCAAAAGTCTCATGGACTTTCCTGCCTGGGCTGGCTTTGAACTGAGATCCTCAGATCTCAGCTTCCTGGGTTGCTAGGATTACAGGTGTGAGCCTCCGGGGCCCAGTTCTGCATCCATTTTCCTGCCCTACCTCTCACTGTGTCTGGTTGACAATTTGAACTCAGGGCCTCATGTTCACTTGGCTGGCTGGCTTGACACTCTACTGCTTCAGTCACAACCGCTCTTTTTGCTTGTTAACTGGAGATGGAGACTCTCAAACTTTGCTCTCTGGGGTTGGCTTTGAGATACGATCCTCCAGATCTCAGTCTCCTGAGTAGCTAGGATTACAGGCATGAGCCACTTAGTGCATGTCCAAACTCCTCTGAAAATAACATCTGCCATTGAATTAAAGATCATTCTTCTCAGGACACCATTCTAATAAACCCATCCACAGGGACCCTTCTATCCAGATGACATCCTGTTCTGAGGTCCTGGGAGTCCCAGTTTGAATGCACAGATTTGGGAGGGGAGGGGCCACAATTTAATCCAGAACAAATAGTTGTGGGCTACTTTCTCCTGTCAATCACAGGCAAAAGGATTTTATTCTTTATTTGTATTGGTCATAAGGCTTGAACTTGGGTCTCAGCACTTTCTCTGAGTTCCTTTGCTCAAGGCTAGCACTGTACCGTGTTGAACCACAGTGCTACTTCTGGTTTTCTGGTGGTTTATTGGAGATAAGAGTCTCACAGAGGGGCTGGGAAGGTGTCTCAGTGGTAGAGCACTTGCCTTGCATGCCTGAGGCCCTGGGTTTGATTCCTCAGCACCACATAAAAGAAAAAAGCCGGAAGTGGCGCTGTGGCTCAAGTGGTAGAGCGCTAGCCTTGAGCTGAAGAGCTGAGGGACAGCGTCCAGGCCCAGAGTTCAGGCCCCATGACTGGCCAAAAAAACAAAAACAAAACAAAACAAGAGTCTCTCAGACTTTCCTGCCTGGGCTGCTTTGAACCGTGATCTTCAGATCTCAGCCTCCTGAGGCCTTTTTTCTTTTTGTGCCAGTCCTAGGGCTTGAACTCAGGGCCTAGCTGCTGTCACTTAGCTTTTTGCCTCAAGGCTAGTCCTCTAGAACTCAAGCGACAGCTATTAATTGGAGATAAAGTTGATTAATTGGAGATAAAGGTGTCATAGACTTTCTTGCCCAGGCCGGATTTGAACCATCATCCTCAGATCTCAGCCTCCTGAGTGGCTGGGATTACAGGCGTGAGCCACCTGTCCAGGCCGCACGTCTCCTTTTGTTCTCCTCTTCCATCCTACCTCTCTTGTAGGCCCCAAAACTCGTGACATGGCTGAGTAGGGCAATTAGTGCAGATGCCTCCTTCTGTGTTTGTCACCCACCAGTGCCCCAGCTCTGCCATGCAGCACAGCCTCCATTTCTTCTGGAAGGTGAGAATTGGGGTAGCATTGCATGCTGCTGAGGTGTGATCATGTCACCTCCGCACCACCTTGTGTATGTTGTCAAGTGACAGTGACAAAGCCTGTGTGTCACTCAGTGCCAGGTATTGTTCTAAGCACTGTATTAAACCTGCAGAGATGTGCAGGAGGCAGGTCCACAATTAGTTCCTTCAGACAGATAAAGAACTGGAGGCCCAGAGAGGTTAGGGTACTTTCCTAAGGTCACATAGCAAGGATTCACACTCCATCCGTCCACCCACCCCATTCATCCATCCTTCCTTCCATCCATCCATCCATTCCTCCAACCATCCATCTACCCATCCATCCATCTTCCTTCCATCCATCCATCTATCCATTCTTCCAACCATCCATCTACCCTTCCTTCCTTCCTTGCTTCCTTCCTTCCTTCCTTCCATCTTCATCCATCCATTCTTCCAACCATCCATCTACCCATCCTTCCTTCCTTCCATCCATCCATTCTTCCAACCACCCATCTACCCATCCATCTATCCATCCTTCCTTCTATCCATCCATCCATCCATCCTTTCTTCCATCCATTCCTCCAACCATCCATCTACCCATCCATCCATCCATCCATTCTTCTAACCATCCATCTACCCATCCATCCATCCATCCATTCTTCTAACCATCCATCTACCCATCCATCCATCCATCCATCCATTCTTCTAACCATCCATCTACCCATCCATCCATCCATCCATTCTTCTAACCATCCATCTACCCATCCATCCTTCTTTCCTTCCTTCCTTCCATTCCTCCAACCATCCATCTACCCATCCATCCATCCATCCATCCATCCATCCTTCCTTCCTTCCTTCTTTCCTTCCATCCATCCATTCCTCCAAACCATCCATCCATCCATCCATCCATCTACTGTGTTGGACTTTTTTCTGGCACAAGACTTAAAGCCATAAGCAGCACAGACCCAGTCCATGCCCTCCAAAAGTCACACATGGGGAAGATGAGACATTGCAAACTTTTCATGAAGAAATGTCAAGGTTCAGGAGGTGGGGATGGGGAAATGGAGACTGGGTTATCAGCTTGCACCAGTTCTCTGATCTTGAACTTGGGGGTTCAAGTCATCCTAGTAGTGTATCACTTTCCAAGTAGCTGAGACTACAGGTGTGCTCCACTGCCCCTGCCCCCAGGGTTTCTAGTGGAGGAAAGCCAAGCTGGAACTGGAAAGTGACTTGTCCAGGGGAATGTATCTGGGAAGGGGAAAAGCCAGGCTTTCTAAGCCCTGTCTTGCTCTTAATTAGCACATCAAACATCCTGGAGCTGAGGACCTAGATGTTTAACTTCTGTACTCTCTTAAGTCCCCAAATGACAGATGTGAGTTCTGATGTAATGTTCACTCACATTTTTAGTGCCCTGGCCCTGAGACACTGAGTTCTTACATAAATATGAGATACACCAAAATTAAATCTGAACTTCCATCAAAGTAATTCGTTTTATTTTATTATTATTATTTTTTTTTTTTTTTTTTGTCGGTCATGGGGCTTGAACTCTGGGCCTGGGCGCTGTCCCTCAGCTCTTCAGCTCAAGGCGAGCGCTCTACCACTTGAGCTACAGCGCCACTTCCGGTTTTCTGGTGGTTTATTGGAGATAGGAGTCTCACGGTCTCTCCTGCCCGGGCTGGCTTTGAACCTCAATCCTCAGAT